CTGCCCTGCATTCCCAGAGGGAGAGCAGGCCCATCTCCAGCAGCCCTGGAGCTTCAGAGGAAAACTCCAGCCTTGTGCAGGATCCCTGCTCCAGCAGAACCACAGCTGGCACTGCAGGAGGGCTGAGCCCCCATGGGATGGGACTGTGCCACCACCCTGACACACAGGGGCCAGGGCCTGTTCTGACTCTGGCAGGGTTGTTTTGTATTACCGCATTTTTAATTTTCCTAACAAGGAACTATTATTCCTAACCCCGTATCTTTGCCTGAGAGCCCCTTAATTTCAAAATTACAATAATTCAGAGGGAGGGGTTTTACATTTTCCATTTCAAGAGAGGCTTCTCCCTTCCTTAGCAGACACCTGTCTTTTCAAATCAAGACACACTTTGTTGAAGGCAATGCATTCTGCTTCTTTCTCTTCTAGAGAACAGTACCAAGGACAGATGAGATTCATGCTCTTGTTCAAGAGTCCACACTCAGATGAGTAATGACAAGCCATTACTTCCAAAAGTAACTCATTTCCAAACAGCCTGCACTAACTGTTGGAATATAATTGAGCAATTTCTCCAGATACCATCCATAACCCATTTTCAGTCATGCAGAGCCAAACAAAGTCCCATCTATAAGCAGGGTGATGAAAGCTCAAAATTATGTGCCAGTATGTGATATCACTCTGTGGCTCATTAAAAAAAAATTGTAATCCAACTATAATTTCTCCATTTTCAAACCCAAGTAAAATAACAAGTGGAAATGTGACACGGGATTGCAAGCACATGAGAATGAACTCAGATGGGAAACTGTAAGGTACACAAGGATTGCAGGAGCTCTGGAATAAACATATGAACACCTCTCATACATTTATCTAACTCCATGTTCATAAGAAAGACATCTCAGTAATAAAGAATCAATAAACATACCACATTTTTCATTAAAAAGATCTTCTACTTTCTGCTTCAAGTCATTGATTTTGGCATTCCAGAGCTCTGCCAGGAAGAAATTGGAAGAATTAGGAAAACACTTACACAATGAATCAGTCTTTGAATAACATTTTAATAAATCTTTAATAAATTATTATGCTTGATAACCAATTTACTATGGCAGTAAAAATGTGCAAAATGGCTTTCATTCTGCAAAACTATATCCACATCAATCCTTATTTTCCTGAAGCTTTGAAAGATACTGTAACTAAATAAAGCAAATGTAACTAAAAGCAAAATTAATCCAAGAGTGATCCATATTTACTATCAGATAGCATAAAATTTACTATCAGATAACAGAAAATTTACTCATCTGAACCACCCAAAACAGTGGCAGAAAGTTCCTCTTATGTTCAATGACACAGCCCTGAAATACATGCCTCTCTCCTGAGAACTTTAATCTCTAGCACAGTTTCTACTTTAGTGGTGAGATGAGAAGTCCATTTAATTTAAGCATTTTGTTTCTGACAGCCATCAGAGCAATTTCCAAACCAGTTTACTTGTGGCTGCACTAAGTGAGCCATGGCTGGTCTACAAAACTAAAACCTCAGTCTAAAGTTTAAAAAAGTTGCAGATTTAAAAAAAAAAGCTTAGGTCTAGCAAGCAACAGGAATGTCCAAGAAAACTGTTTGCAACTCTGAATATGAATACCACCCTAAATCAGTAGCTAAATCAATATCTCATTCATTCTCAACTTGGTAGGAGTAAATAATTGATTTCTTATAGGTTTTTTGACCATACAGCTAAAAAGAAAGCATAGGGGACAAAAAAGATAAAGCAAATAACAGCAAATTCCTACACAAATATAAGCAAATAAACTTACAATGTGAGTATGCTGAAAAAAAGGTTTACTGAGACATGGAACTACTTACAGTTACTTTGAATGCAGTCACTCATCTCACTTGACAATGAAGAATTTTTCTGGATTGCAAATTCAATGCTGAGATTTCTGTTCCAGAGCACTGCACTAACAGGCCTGGGCCTCCATGGCCAAAAAGCTCTGGCCTACATTCATGAACACAACTACTTTAAGGGCTTTCAACCCTGTCCAGCTTTTCCTTTACTGATTTTCTACAACTGGAGAGGTCGGTCATGGCAATCATGCACAATCAGCTCAGACAGGTCATGGCTTACTAATGTTGGTTCAAATCCTTCCTGATCCCTACATCCCACCTAGGTATTTCTGCAGAGTGATGTCAATATTTCAGATTTGTGGAGGGTTTATGAAATTTATGCACATCTCATCTGGGTTTATGCACTTGATGGTACTTTGCACCAGAAAAGTCCTTCAAGGGTCTGCAGCACTGTGCAGTAACAGAGCAGCACAAATCTAAAACTGCCTTTGTACCTGAATCAATGACATCTAATGGATCTGGGCTGCATTTGTACAGCACACTCCACACATCATCCAGTATTTCTCTACTGCAGATTATTACACATAATGAAGAACCACATGTACACAAAAGGGAGGACTTCAGTCATTCACTAACTGTACATCAGAATATGAACTCAAAATATCTGATATGTAATCTGGATGTTCCATACCAACATTAAAGAATGCATGGGTGCTAGTTCTCCCAACACTTACCAAAAGAAAACTCTCTTCCTTGTGGCTTCAAATTTTCATTGGAGTCATCGGTATGATAATTAGTTTCTGTATTTGTGGTTTGGTCTTTTTTAGGACCTATGAAGAGACATTACATATTTAAGGCAGAGCAGAAACAAGACATCATACAAAAAGAACAATGCATCAAACTTGATTACTAGAGAAATCTTCAATTCTGAATCAAGAGTAGAATAAAAAAAAAAAAAAAAACAACAAACAAAAAACCCCCACCCTACGAAGTTCTAGAGTTGTATTTAAGCATTTAATGCTACTGACCATATCTGTGATCTCTCTGCTCAGGACTACAGCAGTTCCCACACCTCTGCTTGGAATAATAGGCCCAAGCAAGCTGTCAAACTGCAACATTTTACCTAAGCATCATCTACACAGTATCCAGTTTGTTTCAGAAATGAAAAATAAAGGTGCTTTTATACTGAAGTGTATCTGGAGCCCTCAAGAGTTTGCTACATGAAGTGCATGTTACTTATGGGCTATGAAAGCTTAGAACAACAGACAATATAGAAGAATATAATAAAAGAACATCAGAAGAATATTTATTTCTTCCATACTGTCTTCAATAGTAACTTCAATCTCCGGGACACTTGAATTTTCTGAAGAGCTTCGTGACCTTTTGGAAGTCCTTTGATCTTTGGAAGGACCAATTCCTGGAAGCCAAAAGAACACAAGGCATAAAGCACAAATTTTGCACACCTAACAAAGGAACAGCTGTATTCTAACAATTCTAACAGACTGAACTAAGCAGAGTCTGCACAGTAAAACCTGAACAATACAGTGATGCTCACAATCTTAAGAAGTAGGTTTAGTGCTCTTGAAAAAAACACATCTAGATTTTCCATGAATTCAGAACAAAAGACTTGTTTTTTCTAAGGGTGAAGGAGAGTTTTGTTACTTTTTATTTTCTAAAACCCCCCAAAATTACTAATATCTGAATTTTCTACAGACAAAAGATTCTTTCATTCTTTTCTTATAAAACACCATTGTTGTTTACAGCAGTTCACAGCTCTCAGTTAAAAATGGTTGAAGCCATTAAAAGTGAAATAAAAGTTGTCAAAATTGAGGAAATTCCATTTTCTGTACTAGAATAGTCAAGTAGAAAAGCAGACATATTTATGGTTTGAGTGTCTTTCTCAACAGCAGATTTAGAGACTACTATGCTAGATCATCTTAAATAATGCCTTTTATTTACAACTCCTGTCTTTTTCAACCACAAAGAGCTCTCAGTCTGCTAGGGAAGTAGAAAACAAGTATTTACAAATGAATTGTTTACCTTTTTTCTTTAGTTTACTAGCCAGTCTTAGAGGCAAATGGGAAATGATAAGCTCAGGCCTAGAAGTTGAACAGAACAAATCCAATCAATTGCAAGACAAGTCATACAGCAAAAAGTTACCAATTTCTTGGAATTCAGTTGAGTTCCAATTCACATAACATCAGCTCTCTACAAGGAAATTCTGTTAGAACCACGGATGACTCTCCATCTACTATAACCACAAAAAAAAAAAAAAAAATAGAAAACATAAAGCTGTATTTTCTATTCTGCAATTTTCTTCTGGGTTTACTTCAAGCAAAGAAAAATACAGAAAAAGAAAAAAAAAACCCAAGGAACTAAGCTTCCAGGTGCAAGACCATTTTCCCCCCTCAATTCTTGATGCATGAAACACACAATTTATACGTCTACAGAAATTTAATGAGGAATGTATGACCTTGTGTGAGGACAACATACGTGCTAAATATTCTTTGTGTTTCACGGAAGCAGAGTTTAGGTAGCATTTAAAGCCTAGAGCTGCTGGGAATGAAGTCAAGTAACTTCAAAATCAGAGGTAACAATAACTGGATCACAAACTTACTTCTTAATAATAAATTTGATTTTGGTACTCGCACGGATGATTCTTTCGAGGCGTGGAATTCCAAACCACGTGGGACTCCGGAAGGGCACTCCTTCTGGCAAGCCTTCCACCACCAAGGAGTCAGGGTGTGATTCAAACACAGAATAGGGAACTTTCACTGAATTTGAAACCTCTGAAAGCCCCAGAGCTTCAGCTGAAAATAAAGATTAAATGATGTATTACAAACTTCAATGGGTGGAATTTTATCTCAAGTGATTTTAAGAATCTCGTCTCACAGAGGCTCTGCTACTCAAAGCTAACAAAAGCCTCCTAAAAACAATAGAAATATTTAAATATATTTGAACAGATTCCCTATTATTTTCTGTGCAGTAACTGCAAATGGGAACTTGGCCCATCTTGTTACAGATAACATCTAATATAGGCCTAATGTGCCTAATGTTTTATTTTGAGAACTTCTTTTCACCCAAAAGCTTTTGTGCAATCATCTCATCACACAACCAGAAAAAGAATGGCCTAGGATGCTGTTATAAAAACATTTATGTCAGTTATAGGAAAGAGTAAGTAAAACATAGGTAAGAGGAGTCAAGATTTCTGTCCTAGTATACTTCTGATGCTTAAGTAAATACTGTAACATTTAAACAGAGGAGTTTTAAAATGCAGCAGCATTACAGAACAGTTCATTTAGCATTTAACTTACCAAACTTCACACTAAATATATCTTCTACTTGCTTTCTTAGCTTTGTGATCTTGGAATTCCAATCTTCTCTTGCTGAAAACCAGAAATGGGTGTCAGAGAATCACCCAGCTCTAGATACAGAGGTACATTTGAACATACTTCTTTCAACATAAGAACATGAAAACTAACAACACAATTACATCTGATTAGACAGGGACACACAATGAGTAATGATTATTAATAGCAGCTTAAATAATACACGTAATTTCCTCTACATAATGAAAAATCTATTTAAATGTAGTTATGAATTTCAAACACTGACCCTAGCAGAACAACTTGGTCTTCAGAGCCTTCAGATGGAGAAAGAAATTATTTTAGTGGTTCTTCCTGTTAAAGGCACATCATGCTTTCAAGAAGTCCCTACAATTCCTTACCAAGGGAGACCTGAAAGGGCTCAGGGTCACCTGTGAGATCCCAAGGGACTCCAGACCTTTGATTCAGGCCAGGACAGTAACTCCATTTCTCTGGGGCTCTGAAGGTGACCTAGGCTAGTTATTCAAAGGCAGCTGGGACTGCATCAGGATTTCACAATCCAGGCAGCCATCCATGTTCACAGTGATCAGCTCACTCCTTCCAACCCTCATGAAGAATATCCCAGCACACTCATCACACTTCACATGGGTTCCTTCTTGAAAAATGCTGCACTGATCTAGATGTGTTTCCCCACCAAACCCTTCCACCTTTCCATTCCCACCTGGAGACAGCACCTGTCTTACCTTGAGGGTTTGACCTGTGCGGGGTACCTTCGTTTGAAGCGTGAGTTAGCAGCTCTGGCCTGCAACAAGGACACAAATAGTGTGCTTATTCTTGTCATAAATTAAATACCACTACCTATTATGACATGAATTGAAGAGTTTGAATTTTTCCATTATATTTTTCACACATGTCAACATGTTAACAGATATGCAAAACATATTCTGAAATACTTGTCTGGATTGCAAATGCCCACTTTACAATGCAAAATATTCCATTTGCCTATTTGTTAACTAGAGACCAAATGCTTCATGACTTAATGAAACCAAGTGCTTGATTACACATAGGGTGTTTGCTTGGATTCTTTCCTAAAAAACCCTCCATGTTTAGACTTACCTTTTGATCACAAATTTTATTCTGTGGCCTGCTTGAATTATTTGTTCAAGGCAAGGGATTCCATACCAGGAGGGACTCCTGAAGGGGACGTTCTCTGGCAGCCCTTCAACATAGAGGTCAGTCGGATGAGCTTCAAATTTCTTGTATGGAACAGCTCTGGGGTCACTGCTTCCCAAAGCCTTGGCTGTTGGAACAAAATACATCCAGTAACTGGACAGACTGGCCAATCAACCTTTATTAAAAGCTAGCTGATGCCAATTCCTCAGGCTGTTCCTGCAACTGTGCTCTTAAAATGTGGAACAATGCAGGACATCTAAATACAACAAAACCCAAGTCTCTGCATGTAAAAAAATGTTTAAAAATTGCCATATTCTAAGATGTTGCTGTTGGGCAGTCATAATACCAGAATGGATTGCTTACTGGGTCACAATACATTTGTTTTATCCAGTTGTTAATCTGTTATAGAGTATCATGAAAAAATGTATTCTAGATCTTACAAACTTGACTTTTTTTCCTTCATATTTGACAGAATATAAAAATTCACCCAAAATTGTTTTAATACTAATTGTTTTAATACTAATTATGATGATATTCCAGTGGATATAAGTAAACAGCTGTTTCACCACCAAAGGAAAAAAATCCAAACAGGAAGGAATCAAGAGCAATCAGAAGAGCTGTATATGTAAGAGTTAAAATTATTTTTAAACTATGAATTTACCCTGTATAAGCAGTAAACTAAAACATTATTTTTCACTGAACTTCCAGAATTTTAGATATTTGGGAAAAAAATCTGAACAAAGGTCTAATTCATGCAGACATTCAAAGAAAGGAATGAAAGCAACCTTCAAGAAATACAAAGCCATTCAGAAAAGAAGATAATAATACTGCACTTACCATACATTTTGCAGAAAAGTTGATCTACCATCTTTCTCAGTTTGATGACTCTGGAATGCCAGTCCTCTTTCACTGTATTTGAGACTGGCACAGAACAAAACCAACATTTCTTAATTATATTGGTTATATTTTCAGTTGTTCAGTTTATACAATGCATAATCATCCTGCATTTTCAGATGACACATAAATGTTGCATGTAAGAAGTATGGATTTAATGTGGAACTAGAAAAAATGACCACAAAATAATGACAGAATATTAAAACTGTCAAAACTCTGCTGAACCACTGACATCACTCTTGCTACAAAATACACACAATGTTTTGGCCTGAAGAACTGCAATACTTCAATCATCCACCTCCAAACAGCAGATTCCAATTGGAGATGGAAATAGTTTTTCAATGGTTTCATTTCCTGAAGAATTTATTGATATTCAGTGCAGAATTAGGAATGCGCATGGGATAAAAACTTGCTTTTAAGGGATCAAAGCACATATAATACAAGTCACTTCTTGCTCCTGAATATGTCTTTGTGACCAACAAGTGAAGCTTCCCAGTCTCAGAGAACACATTGGCCAGCTTACACTCCAGGGGTTTAGTCAGAGTGCAAAAGCAATGACTTGTGTTCCATACTTGCACCAGACTGGGCTATCAGCATAAGCACCAGCTGACACTTCCTGCGATCCAACTGGTCTGTCTTGCAGCCAGTGTCAGTCTTCTCAGAGTTTCTGGACTGAGGCCATTCCACAAAACCATTCTGACCAGACTATCTCCCACAGGAATGTAAATGAAAATCATCTTTTCCTCTGCCAGTCAAAATACAGGTCTCATACTCATCCCATCCCTTTCCTGCTGGGGACACAAGCTGTCAGGACCTATGGACAGAGCAGGAATTGGACATGGAGCCACAAGGAGCTGAGAGAGCAGGGGCTGGTGCTCCACAGCTCTGTCTCCTAAGATGGCAGTGGACACAGGGAGCAGCAGAGGAGATAATAAATTACTGGGAAAGAGGAAATCCAAACAGGAAGAAAACTGCAGGAAAGGAGGCTCAGACAGCTGCTGTCTCCTGTGTTCTCTGAGATGTGACTGACAGCTCCCAGGAATGCTCTCTTCTCTTATTAGAGAGGATGCAGAGGTCACACTTACCACTATCAAGTGGTAGCTGGTGATGACAAGCCATATAAGCAACTGTTCAGAACCCTGTGCCATAGAAATTGATTAACACCAGTTTTCTTAGCTACAGGGGTTTTATGAGTTAAGCAATGCTTTGCCTCCATAATCAGTACAACTGTATTAAAAATTACTAAAACAACAAAAAAAGGCTAATTTAAACAGCCACATAACAGTCCAGTTAAGGCTAAGGCTCAGTTACTAGCCTACCTACTATTTTTGTAGTCGAATTTTGTGCTTGAAGGTACAGTAGGTTATCAGGACTCAATACACTAAGTTAACTTCAGGAAAAGATTAATTCCTGCACACACCTTAAAGAGACATCCTTACAGTACACCTGCTTAATTTAGATCCTTAATATTCACTTTAATACTGTCTTTGATATACTTTTTACAAGAGAACACTATGTGTATATAGGACAAATAGGAATATCACATGTGCTTGTGCAACTCACACATTTGAACACCTACCTGTTGGAACTGTAGTGACCACTGGAGCATCTGTTGAATTCAGAAGTTCAGGCCTGAAGGATTTAAGATACATGTTTGAACAGTGACAGACACTTTGAGAAACTAGCCTCCAGCTAGAGCCTCAAGTAACTACTTACTGAAGGATCAAACCCAATAAACCTCCCAGGGTACATCACAATCCCCAGCACTAAATCCCAACTAATGCTGAAATACCATAAGAGCTGGCTGGAACCCTACTGACAAACTATTTTTCATGCAAATACCCATATCTGATGACTATGGGTATTCACCCATTTCATGGTGACATAAAGGTTCCATTAAACTTACTTCTGAGTTGTGAGATACACTTAATAAGAAACAAAGATAGAAATTAAAAATTTAATCTCTAAAAGAGTAAACTTCAAAGCAGACACTTCTGTTTCCAAAACATATCTAATTTTATCCACAGTTGCACAAACAAAAAAATTAAACATTTTGATGTTTCTCAGAGAGCCAAACTAAATTTTTAGCTGCTCTTGTTACACATTTCAAAATCAATGAACACCAAAAACTAATTTCTGTTAACAACTAAGACATATTTGACAAAAGCGGGTGCCAGCGTTGCATAATGAATTAGATCTATGTATGATACCTGATTTTAAATGAGACACAAGGTAGATCTACACTTCTTCCTTTTCTAGTTATCTGCAAGCATTAGGATGACAGAAACTGACCATGTTCCTCTTAGATGTAAGCAACTAGCCCCCATGGTAAAGGCAGCATGCAAAGAGGCAGGGGCTGCCACTACCCCCAGTTCTCAGCCTGACCATTGCAATAATCACATTCCTGTCCATTTCAAAAAACTCTTGCATTAGCCCTACACCACTGAACACAAAAAAACATCAGCTGTTACTCACTGAAGCTTCCTTTAAACTTCAATCAGTCTCTATCTGAGGTCTCCTTCATGTACACTACCTCCAGACACACCAAGGACACCTAAACCACAGGAACCAGTAGCTATGTGTTGGCCTCAAGCTTGCCCTAGGAAATGTTTTATACAAATACAGCCATAGACACCTTGATACAACATTCCAGCAAATTTTAAAAAATTAGGCTAGGATCCTCAAACAGGATCAAATATTCCCAAGTCAATGGCTTTCAACATGTATTGCAGCTGCAGAGATCTGAACAGTACAAAGAGATCTGGCCCTGTCAAGAAGTCCATAAGATTGAAGAGATCTGTCCAGAGATCTCTGCACCACCACTCTATGTGGTCCACTGGTCTGATGATAAGCTGAATATATCAAAGTGGACATCAACTAAAAACTACTCCTTAGTACCATAAATTAATATGCCAGTAGAAACCAGTTTGGAATTCTGTGAAGAAAAATGAAGCAAAGTGGCACCAGCAGAAAACAATGAGTAATGTAGAGACCAAAACAAAGAACTCCTTACTTCTTAATCACAAAGCGGATCCGCTCCTTTGCTAGAAGGATCCTCTCCAGCCGGGGAATGCCGTATGTGGCTGGGCGCCTGAAGGGAATCCCATCTGGCAGCCCCTCCACAACTAAATCTTCTGGATGTGAATGGAAGGTTGTGTATGGGACAGACACTGGACCCTCTGCTTTTATAGCCTCAGCTTTAACGAAAAAGGAGAATAAAACCATTAGACTAGTGTCACATTCATATTTTCGGAAAAAACCCTTTGCCCAGGATTTTTCTCCTGAGAAGCTGAGAAGCCTCAGAGAAAAAGGAAAGCAATTCTTATAAAATGCAGTTGGAGATTGTTTCCCCACAGGTGATTGTTTCATTGTTTTTTGCTGTGAATTGTTTTCACTCATTGGCCAATCAGGGTCAAGCTGTGTCGGGGCTCTGGGGAGAGTCATGAGACTCATTATTAATCTTTTTAGCCTTCTGTAAGTATCTGTTCTGTATTCTTTAGTATAGTATAGTATAAAATCCTTTAATATAATATGGTATCATAAAATAATAAATTAGCCTTCTGAGAACATGGAGTCAGATTCATCATTCCTTCCTTCCTTCATCGGGGCACCCCGCAAATACAATAGACTAGCTTGTGGCTCTACTCAATTACCTGTTTGCTATCACTCTGATGAACATTATAATTACCATACAGGCAATAACCCCTGTTAAGATAACATTTAAACATTCAAGCATTCATGTTGTGAGGGACTTTTTTTAATAGCAAAATCACTTTGATTCACAGAAAACAAGCTGCAACACTGTATACATATGCAGATCACCCTCTTGTCCCTTTATGCAAACATTTAATAACAGTGACTGCACCTGTAAGAGTGAGAATTCTCACTATTCTGATTTTGCTTAATAGAACTTTTTGAAAGATGAAGTTATTCTCATTATTTTGGTTCTGCTTAATAGAGCATTTTGAAAGATGAAGTTATCTAGACTTAATGATAAACTAAGCATGTTTCAGTTCATGTTCAGTTTCTAGCTCTGTTATAATTTGTTACTACTATTGGCTTACAAGTTATTAATGCCTTGGAGTAGGGGCACACATCCCTTCTTTTCAGTGAATTCCTGAAGTTTCCGTGTGTTTTAGAAATCCAAAGAACCACTAATGAAATAAAAAATACACTTCTAACACTGCTGAAAAAAGCATGGCCCTCCTAATGAAATCTTTGAAACAAATGAAAAGCAAGTAACTAGCAACTTGGGAAGGAGGGGGGCATACCCCACCATCCTGGACTTCCCATTGTTGCCATGAACTTCCAGACATTTAGCAATTTTGTCTTATTTACTCTTACTTTTTGCCCACTGCTGTTTTGCTTGTAAATAGACTGTTATTTTTTTCACTTACACCTACTAGTAAGTGTAGTATTGCTGGAAAGGGATTGGTTAATACCATCATGGGAGGCAGCTCATTCCACAGTGTCTACCCCTTAAATTGTCTTCAACCAAGTTAATTTTCTTCAATGAACTTTGCTATGTGCAAACATCAAAAGCAAAATTAAAGCAATTCACTAAGAATGATGCTCCTTTCTAGAGCAATTAAAATACAGTGAATCAGATTCTGAACTGCATAACCTTGGTGCAAATTGCTTTCAGCAGGCTGTTTAAATGTCAGATGATAGTCACACCCCAAACATGTAGTAACTCCAAATCACAAGGGCTATTCTGAAAGCACTTCCACTTTTTGTGGCAGAGGCACACCAGCATTTATTTTCACATCTTTACTAATGCTGCTGTAGTTTGTGATATGTGGACACAAAACATATCTAAGTGCAGCATTTGGAGACAAAATCCAAAGTCTAACACATCTTTTTCTTTCCAAGAGCCATTGGATATGTAAGTTTTACTTCACTGTAAAGCAATCATAATAAAAAATGAACAACCAATGAGTGGCAGCCTCTCTTCAGTGCCACTCTACAGATTCTTTCACTTAAAGACTCAGTGTAATTGCAGAGAAAAGGACAGCTCTCTCAAATGTGGGTGGCCAAGATATGTGAGCATGCAGGTGCTCCAGGAGACTGAGCACAACTGAGAAATAAAATCAAACTTCCCCATTTGGTGCCAAACAAAGATATCCCATTTTGAAATTACTCTGTTCATCAAAAAAGCTCTTCTCAATTTTACTCTTCCCCATTTTATGTCTTCTAACAGTATTTAGCCCTTTGGTGCTGTGAGTTCTGGTGTGCTCCTGAGCCAAGATGCATGGCAAAGAGCAGTCTGTCACTTGCTGTGACAAAGGACTACAGGCAATGGCTTGGAAAGGTGTGTAACACATACCATATTTTTTATCAAACAGCTCTTCAACTTCCCTTCTCAAGTCAGTAATTCGTGTATTCCATTTGTCTGCAAAGAAAAGAGGAGGACAGGTCAAGCTACAAACAAACCTGAGAAACTTGTTACCCCTAAATGAAATATGAAGCATGTACTTTTATTTGCAAACAGGTGCCTCCTGAGTACAGTTCAGACTACACCTTAAAATGCATAGATGCATTAAAAAAAAATAAAAGCACAGAATAAAATGTTAAACATTACTTCTGAAAGATGTACATTAAATAAAGTTTAAAAAACCACAACAAAAACCAGTTTAAAGTAGCTTCCAAAAATGATTTCTCTCTTTGATGGCTCAGTCATCAGCTCTTGCTACCTCCAGGGGTAAAGGCAGTTTATAGGTGCTGTTGACAGTTACCTAGATTTGAGTGCAGGAAAACTTGATAAGCTTACAGAAAGCACATGGAGCTGTTTTGGTGGAAATCTGTACAACTACAAGGATCAGGAGGCATCTGCCCTTCTCTATTTTAATCCAGTATTCCTCCAAGTCCTGGTGTTGCAAAATGCACCAAGAAATCCTATTTCTGAAAGAAAATACAGCTGCAAAAAAGAAGTTTATCCAAATCCAAACCTGTGCATCCAATTACATTGTCACGTTAAATAACAAAAAATAACAGAGGCAGCCTATGATGGTGATTATACTGCTGCAATCCGTCTAAACGGAGACCAGGGCTCTTAAATGAAAGCTTGCACTAAAATGTCTCGCCTGCACAACAAAATTACTCAAGTCCTCTTCATAAAACAAAGCACTGAAACAAAATCATCTAGAATTTTCATCTTACCAAAATTGAACTGTATTCCTCTGCTTCTCCCACTACTGCCCGAGTCGTTACCTGACTTGGGGCTTCTCTGTCTCCTCTCATCGGGTATGTAGTCATCATCATCTTAAACAGACAAAAACAAAATCACTGGGTTTTTGTCCAAGAAACTCGTGTGCAGCACTGGAACTGCTTTGAATTTCAAAACTAAAACAGAACTAAGGAACTGTGTTTGGCAGGCAACAAATGTTCAACAAATGACTTAACTGAGAAACTTCAGAAAGCTCCTGTTCCTACCTGTGAAGGAAAAACTTGTTCCTTCAAAAGGGCCTGTGCAAAGCACAAGAGAGCAAAGAAAAAAGTTGCTCCTGTACTTCCTAAAGGAAAACAACATTGCCTTCTGAAACATGACTGGGCATCCGATGATTGTAAAACAGCCATGCAACAGCAAAAGGAATCACACAATAAATTGTGCAGATAGGGACTACTTTTCTGTTCTGGCACCATTCTTCCCAGAAGCATTTCTTAACTACAAATGTTACATAGAACTACAGTGGGTTTACAAAGCAATGTGTTCTCCAGAATGAAGGAATGTTATAACATCTTGTCCGTTCAATGAGTATTATTCATTAACAACACCTGAAAATTACGCAAAATATATAAACTGCTGTCATGCATAATTTCAAAACCAGCCCACCAAGTCCAATATGCTTCAGTATATTGTGGTTTTCTAACACTTCTCCACCAATTTTGTTTACCAAGCAGTGCACAATCCAAACTACACTCGATAATATACATACAGTATATTATACAACCAACATACAATTCTCTTCATTCACTGCCAAGTAATACAGGCTTTGGAAAACACAATTTAGGCAGAAAAATGCCCAACCAACCAACTGAAATCAGTGACTTGGGGAACTGACCTTCACTATTGAGTTCAGCCTCAGAAACCTCACTTCCTTCTGATGATTCATGCTGGGAGGAATCTGAAAGGGAAAAACAGGACAGCTGAATGATTGGCATGACCAAGATTTTTAATCAACAACTCCATGCCTCTGCATCTAAACCAACACTGTCAAAGAAGCCCCTTGCATTTACAGCAAACAACAAAAATAGAAGCAAAGATACATTTACCATGAGCCTTTGAGCAATTCCAGACAAATACAAGGAGGTGAAGATTACACATACTCAGAAGTATGTAACTGACAACCAGCTGACTGCTTAAAAAACCTGGGTTTTTACAGTAAAGTGGCTCACCTTTGCTCCTGCCTGGGGACCCAGCATCACCACTGGCCCCCATCTCAAACTATTCAGCAAAACCATGTGCAACTTTCAGAGTTCTCTTAAAGAAACTTGTAAAATACTACCAATCTCAGAAAAAGGTGTTACAAAGCCTTGCTCTGACTTAAAGGGCAACACTTAGAATCTGTAGCTATAAAATTCTAGTCAAAAGCAAGGCACAGTCAGAGCCCAGGTCATTTCCTCTCACACTTCCCCTTCCTCATGCTCCCTCCTCACAGTCACGTATAAAGCACATGGCATTATGCTGAGGAAAACAAACCACCTAGATTTCTCTTCTCCAATGAGTTCAGTTAATACTGCAGCTAGCACAGGCAATGAACATCATTCTCCACGATCAGGAGAACTGCTGCTGAAATTTCATGCAATGGCACCACTAAATATGGTGATACCTACCTGCAAAACAAAACTAACGGAATTTGCAAGAAGGAGCACTGCTGCTAGCAAAACCTGCCTTGAAAAGCACACAGCTCAGGCTGAAGAGCCACGTGCTCAGAGAGAAGCCAGCAGGACAATGGTGTACTGTTCACATCCTGCCAAACCACTAAACCTTGGGTGACCAGCACCTTAGAAATGCCTTTCATGACTTAAAATAATGACGATTACCATCACAATTTGCTTATAGCAAGCCCCAGAGTAGTGTGATTTGGGAGATTAAAAGCAAAACAAAGAAAAAATCAAAAAAGCCAACCTGGTGGAAGTATGAAAAGAGGATGATTGGAGAAGATGTACAATTTCAATTAGGCAACATCTTTGCAAATATTTATATGAAAAAATATTCAATTATGGTAATTTATAAGCACAAAAAACCACATCTGATATGCTATAATTTTATTTCCACATATTTTCCTTCACTGATGTCAGAACTCTGGTGGCTGCTTCAAAAATATAAAGTAAAAAACATATTCCTGACTGCACAGAATCTTATAAAAGCATACAGATTGATTTGTCCCTAAACTAAAAAAAACCAAAGCACAGGATAAAGGAGAGTTACTAAAAAAATCCGAGGTGAAGCATCTTTAACCAGACTAAACTGAATCACAAGGATGCATTTCTGTGGAGAACCCAACATAAGGGATCAGGAAAGACCACAACCAGAAAATCCCAACTTCCTGTGTGTCTAATTTAGTTGTCAAGTCAAATAACAAAAACCAACAGAGGCAACCTATGACAATGATTATACTGCTGCAATTCACCTACACAGAGCCCAGGGCTCTTAAATGAAGGCTTGCAGTAAAATGTCTCACTCCTGCAGCACAATATTACTCAAAACCTTTCCATAAAAGAAACAAGGTGATGAAACAATCTTGAATTTCCATCTTACAAGAATTTAACTCCTCTGCTTTTCTTCTCCAAGTATTGGACACATCACTAAGAGACCTGTCTCTCCTCCGACTCCTGCCACGGTACACGTAGGCATGGTCAGAATCTAAAAGAAATCAAAAAGAAATCACTGGGTTTTTCTCGAGGGAACTCAAGTGCAGCACTGAAATTGCTTTGAATTTCAAAAATCTAAAAGGACTAAGGAATAATGCCTATGAAGACAACAGATTCTGCAACACATTATGAACACGAGTAACTTCAGAAAGCTCCTGTTCTTACCTATGAAGGAACAACTTGTTCCTTCAAAAGGGCCTGTGCAAAGCACAAGAGAGCAAAGAACAAAGCTCCTCCTATACTTCCTAAGGAAAACAACATTGTCTTCTGAAACATGACTGGGCATCACATGATAACACTTCTCCACCAATTTTGTTTACCAAGCAGTGCACAATCCAAATTACACTCAACACCAGCACACAATTCTCCGTATTCGGTGCCAAGTAATGCAATATGTGGAAAACACATTTTGGATAGAAAAATGCCCAAAACCATGACATTTAGGACTCATGGTACTGACCTTCAAGGGTGACCTCAACCTCAGGTTTCTCACTTGTTTCTGTCAAGACATGGTGGGAGGTATCTGAAAGGGAAAAAAGAAGAATGCTGAATGATGGACATGGACAAGATTTTCAACCAAACAATCCATGCCTTTGCATCTAAACCAACATTGTCAAAGAAGCCCCTTGAGCTCACAGCATGCAACAAAAATAGATGAGCCTTTGAGCAATTCCTGACAAAGGCAAGGAGGTGAGGATTACACTTGCTGCACTTGTGCATTTTGAAGAGTATCTTGTTTCAGATCTCTGTAAGATGGGGTATGGTATCACTTTGGGAGCATGTCTGAAGGAATCTTTGCTTCAAAAGCTTCTCTTCACATGATGTGTGGGGTGTAGAGCAGAAAGTCAGCTCTATCTACTGGGACACCTTAATGGAGTATATTTGAACTGTGTCAAATACATCATCCAGGTCATGGAAATAAGTACCATGTTTTGATCTAATTCCAAGGGAGTGCTGGGTACATAACTAGCAAATGCAAAGCTGTACAAAAAGGAAGAATTAGGAGTTGTTTTACTAGACATAACATAAAGTACAGTAGTAAAAAGCCTGTCACATCAACTGATCATTTAGAACCTGTCTGAGAGAAGTAAATAAGATTAAAACAATTAAAATTATACAGCATTTTTGGAAATTTAGGAATAGGTATTAGACTGGAAAATGGTCTATCTAATCTAGCACCAAATCCCTGAGAAACACTCACCATTAAGGGAATTGTACAAAAACTCAAATCAAATGGCAGCAAGTTCTGGAAGAAAACTCCCAGATGGGACATTTCTTCTTAAGACACATTACACCAATGGCATTAAACACTGAAGTATGTTTTTTTTAAACAACACATCATCATCACTAGGTGTCCTCTGACCTTGGGTAAATGCACACAGCTCCTACGTAAGAAGTCTTCCTCGTAGTTCTAAATGTTCTCATTCACCAGCACTGGCTCCAGTTTCTCAAACATGATTTTCTTCCCTTCAAAACAAGTTCTTCTGACACACATAACCTCAACTTTCTGATTGCTGAATTCCAATCACACCATGCTGCCCACTCATCCAATCTCATTAAGACCACCTCAGACACCTTCATCAGCTCCAGCTAACCTGGGGGATTCCAGGCACACCATAGTTCTGCCACTTCCCTTTTCACCGTCTTACCAAGGTTACCAGAGAGGAAAAACAGTGAAAACCCCCAATGACAAAGAACAAAATAGACCAAAACTAAAGGTTTTCCTTGAGGGAAACAATCACTTGTTCAAATCTGCATCACTGGCTGTAGCTTTCAGACAACCTTCTGGAAGAGCCAGATCTGCCTGGCTATAACTTATCTGGATTTTTAGATTGTCATTCTGCCTACTTTGCTCTTAGGGCCACAGCTGTCTGCCCGAATCACCTCACTATCACGTTGGGATCACCAAATGTAGGAGTTGATATGGTCATAACACACAAAGTAACACCACACAATTTAAAACAGCCTTAAGCCATTTAGCCAGTGCTAAATGGCTTGAAGCCGTTTTAAATTGTGTGGTATTACTTTGTGTGTTATGACCTTTCTTGTTCAGCCCTTTCTTGTTCTGCATTACACCCTTTTATACGCTTTACTTTACATGCATTATGCCTGTGTGACCTCTGTTCCCTTTTATGACTGGTCAGTGCACCTTGGCACTCCTTGTCTCATTGCTTTCAATATCTTCACCTGCTTCTCTAAGCTGTAGCCCATTGGGGCTGAGGCTCAGCCACAGCCCCAATCCCAACTACCACAAAATGTCTGCCTGCACAGAGTGGTGTGCATTAGGAGATTAAAACAAAGTAAAACAAAATTCAAAAAAGCCAACCTGGCGGAAAGAGGAATAAAGAAAGGCTGGAGAAGATGTACAATGTCAATGAGGCTACATATCTCAAAATATTTCTGTGAAAAAAATATCCTAGGATGTTAATTTATCCTCACATAAAAGACTTCACATCTCAAAGGCTGTAACTTTATTTCCACATCTGCTTCTGTACTGACATCAGAACTCTGGTAGCTGTCTTCAAAAATATAAAGTAGAAAACATACTCCAGACAGCACAGAACCTTAGAAAGGCAGAAAGATTAATGTGTCCATAAGCCAAATCAAACCAAACCAAACCACAGAATAAAGGACAGGTACAGAATCACAAAAAATACCAGGTAAAGTATCTTTAAGGATGATAAACTGAAGTGCATGAATGCGTTTCGGTGGAGAACCCAACTGAAAGGATCAGGAAAGAACACAACCAGAAAATCCCAACTTGCTGTGCATCAATTTATGTTGTCACGTCAAATAACAAAAAAACAACATAGATAGCCTACGATGATGATTATACTGCTGCAATTCATCCACACGAAGCCCAGGGCGCTAAAATGAAGACTTGAACTAAGACATCTCACTCCTGCAGCACAAAATTACCCAAAACGTTTTCATAAAAAAAAATAACATCTTCTTTGCTCAATCGGCATTTTTTATCAACAACACTTGAAAATTATGCAAAAGATACAAATTGTTGTCAGGCATCATTTCAAAACCAGCTCACCAAATCCAACATGCTTCAGTGTATTGTGGTTTTCTAAAACTTCTCCACCAGGTTCATTTACCAAGCAGTGCACAATCAAAACTCCACTGAACACCAGCTCACAATTCTCTTCATTCACTGTGAAGCATTGCGGGTTTTGGAAAACAGAATTTAGATAGAAAAATGCCCAACCAACTGAAATCAATGACCTGGGGAACTGACCTTCAACAGTGACCTCAACCTTAGGATTCTCACTTGTTTCTGACATGTCATGGTGGGAGGTATCTGAAAGGGAAAAACAGGACTGCTGTATGGTGGACATGGACAAGATTTTCAACCAAACACTCCATGCCTTTGCATCTAAACCCACACTGTCAAAGAAGCCTCTTGCATTCACAGCATGCCACAAAAATAGAAGCAAACACATTTCACCATGAGGTAACCTATGATGATTATACTGCTGCAATTCACCTACACAGAGCCTAGGGCTCTTAAATGAAGTCTTACACTAAATCGTCTCACTCCTGCAGCACAAAATTACCCAAAACTTTTTTATAAAACAAAGCAGGGAAATAAAATAATCTTGATTTTTTATCTTACCACAACTGAAGTCTTCTTTTCTTCTCTCAACACTGGTATCTTCATTAGATGAACTGGTGCTCTTCTGTCTCTTGTCAGGTGGTAGATAGTCATCCTCATTACCTTTAAGAAACAATTTAAAAAAACACTGGTTTTTTGTCCAAAAAACTCAACTGCAGCACTGGAACTGCCTTGAATTTCAAAACTAAAACAGAAATAAGGAATTGTGTTTATCAGGGTAACAAATTTTCAACAAATTACTTAACTGAGTAACTTTAGAAAGATCCACTACTTAACTGTGAAAGAACAACTTGTTCCTTCAAAAGGTCCTGTGCAAAGCACAAGAGAGCAAAGAACAAAGCTGCTCCTGTACTTCCTAAGGAAAACAACATTGTCTTCTGAAACATGACTGGGCATCACATGATTGTAAAACAACCATGCAACAGCAAAATGAATCACAGAATAAATTGTGCAGATAGGGACTACCTTAGTTATCTAACTGGGAGCAGTATCATACAGGAGTAGATCCCAAAAGACAGTACCTATGTTTTGTCTTGAAGAGCTCAAATGTACTAAACCCACTTTCAAACCAGTGAAAAACCAATGGGAACCAATGAAATTCATCAAACAGGTCAACTCTGCCTTAAACACACACAAGTGGACAGACAGGAGAACTCCACTCCACTTACACCACCTGCAGCACTGCCTTTCTGTTCTGGCACCATTCTTCCCAGAAGCATTTCTTAACTACAAATGTTACATAGAACTACAGTGGGTTTACAAAGCAATGTGTTCTCCAGAATGAAGGAATGTTATAACATCTTGTCCGTTCAATGAGTATTATTCATTAACAACACCTGAAAATTACGCAAAATATATAAACTGCTGTCAGGCATCATTTCAAAACCGCCCACCAAATGCAATATGCTTCAGTATATTTTGTTTGTCTAATACTTCTCCACCAATTTTGTTTACCAAGCAGTGTTGTATTGCACTAAATAGTTATTTTGTTGTTTGCACTGTGTGTTTGGTGTTTGCACTGTTCACATGATTTGTATCCTATGACCACATGGTCCTTCCCTTTTCCCCTCTGCCTAAGTGTCAGTGTGGTGGTCTCTCCCTGGTTTATCCCTCCACTCGCCCCTCCTCACTGGTATCCCATTGGCTGTGGTCCTCTTCCTCCATCCCCCATTCCCCCAGGTATAAAAGTCTCCCACCATCAGGCAATGTTCTCTTTCCCATCTGGGGGGTCGCCTGAGTCTGAGGTGTCTCCACACAAGTCAATAAACAGAGGACATTAGTTCCCACATGGAGAAGAGCGCTTCTAGTCTTTTGCCTTTTGTCCATGTAAGATCATGTGGGCTGGGGTCCATAGCCAGCTGGAATGGACCTGAAAATCCTACTCAGACACAGATTTTTACAGCTGGCACCCAACATGGGGCACCATTTATTGCAGCTTGAATTGCTGCTAGTAAAGTCCAAGGTAAAGAAGCAAAAAAGGTTTGCATAATATCCACAGATGTTTCATTCAGCCGCGCGGTGAGATGTTCAGGTCCCCGGCCACACACACATTTAGGGTCCAGCATTCCCTCCCCAAGTGCCAGGGGACTGATCCTGGTCTTGGGGCAGTACAAAGATACAGCCTAATCAGGGAAATGGGAGGCAGTGGCCCAGGAATATAAGAAGAGACATAGGAACAGAGGAAGGAGAAAATGGTGTGTAACTTAGAGGTTGTCCCCCAGGGCTTCCTCAAAGCAGTGCACAATCCAAACTACACTCAACACCAGCTCACAGTTCCCTTCATTCACTGCCAAGTAATGCAGGCTTTGCAAAACACACTCTGAACAGAAAAATGTCCAACCAGCTGAAATCAATGACTTGCAGAACTAACCATCAACAGTGACCTCAACCTCAGGATTTTCGGTTTTTTCAGACAAGTCATGTTGGGACGAATCTGAAAGAGAAAGATAGGACTGTTGAGTGATGGACATGGACAGATTTTCAACCAAACACCCCATGCCTTTGCATCTAAACCAATATTGTCAAAGAAACCTCTTGCATTCACAGCATGCAAGAAAAACAGAAGCAAAGATATTTTACCAAGAGCCTTTGAGCAATTCCTGACAAAGGCAAGGAGGTGAGGATTACACTAGCTGAACTGCCGCAAGTGTAATCCTGCACAGACTCCAGACTGCACAGAACCTTAGAAAAGCAGACTGATTAACGTGTCCATAAGTCTAACCAAACTAAACCAAACCATAGACTAGAGGAGGATCACCAGATGAAGCATCTTTATGCAGGCTAAACTGAAGCGTATGAATGCATTTCTGTGGAGAACTCAAGTGAAGGGATCAGGAAAGAATACAACCAGAAAATCCCAACTTGCTGTGTATCCATTTACATTGCCATGCCAAATAACAAAAAATAGGAGTGGCTATGATGATGATTATACAGCTGGAATTCACCTACACGGAGCCCAGGGTTCTAAAATGAAGGCTTGCACTAACACATCTCACTCCTGCAGCACAAAAGAACCCAAAATGTTTTCATAAAACGAAGCAGGGAGATAAAATCATCTTACTGCAGTTGAAATAGTTTGATTTTCTTCTCCTTCTATTGGCAGTTTCCTTAGCCGACCTGGTGTTCGTCCTCCTCTTTCTCTTGCTAGGCGGCAGGTACTCATCATCGTCATCTTCTAAAAAAACCAATTAATAAAAAACATGGGTTTTTTTTGCCTTCTATGGACCAAAAGTCAGGCGTAGCTTTAGAACAGCCTTGATTTTCAAAACTTAAGCAGAAATAAGGAAGTGTGGGCACCAAATTTTGCAGTAAATTACTTACTTGAGTACCTTCAGAAAGCCCCTGTTCTTACCTGTTTTCTAATTCGTCACCACCAGGCTCATTTACCAAGGAGTGCACAATCCAAATTACACTCAACACCAGCACACAATTCTCCTTATTCAGTGCCAAGTAATGCAGGCTTTGCAAAACACACTCTGAATAGAAAAATACCCAAAAACCTGTAATCAATGACCTGCAGAACTGACCTTGACTAGTGATTTCAGCTTCAGAATCCTCACTTGCTTCTGATGAGTCATGTTGGGAGGAATCTGAAAGGGAAAAAAGAAGAATGCAGAACGATGGACATGGACAAGATTTTCAACCAAACAATCCATGCCTTTGCATCTAAACCAATATTGTCAAAGAAGCCCCTTGAGCTCACAGCATGCAACAAAAATAGAAGCAAAGATATTTTACCATGAGCCTTTGAGCAATTCCAGACAAAGGCAAGGTGAGGATTACACTTGCTGAACTGCACAGGCTACACTGCACAGTTGCTACCTATGACTGAAGGAAATTCCAGTGTCCTGGCTTTGTAGGGTTAATACAATAATAAGTATATTCCCCTTTCTTACCCAGAACTACTGAAAATATAAACAAAGGCTGCCTGTCCCCACAGATTAGGTATTTTTTTACCAGCTCCACAGACTCATGGATACTGCACTATGATGACTTCCACAACAGGCTGCAAGGGCAACAATCAAACATGGGAGGGATATTCATAATCACAGTGCTTTTGTTGAAGTGCACAAACAACACAAGCAGGATTCACCAATCAACACTCAGTGTGAGAAAGAACAATTTATACTTAACTGCACTACAGTTAAACAAAGTGAAGCTAATTTTATCTGGAACTCTATCAAAATGAAGTAGCAGTGCATGAAGGAACATATTTTAGTTATTCCAGCAGAGTACTGCTGGAATGTTTACAGGGGCAGGAAGGGGAAGCTGGGTTGTTTTGCCAGTCTCTTAGCTGGGCATGGGCAGCCTGCCTGGTTGGATGTAGAGATGGTTGTGTGCTTTTCCTTTGCCTTAGACCTCTCCTATCCAGTGTTTTTACACACTGCCATGAAGCTCTATCTGCTGCCATCTTGTTAGCTTGTTCCTTGCAAGAGATTTAATCCTGGCCACTACACTAAGATTCACCAGCTCCACGAGGGAGCAGCACGGTCCCCGTGGCTGCCTGGGGAAGACATCCTTCCCGCTTTTTTCACCCAGACCCACTGCACGGACAGCCAGCTTGACCTGGAGCAGGATTTCCACAAGGCCTTTTCTTGCACAGTAGTGTGACATGACAATAAAGGGCTTCCTTCTTTCCAAGTGTGAGAAACAGCTGCTCACTTTGAAAATTTAAAAAGGTTTATTAAACCTTAACAAAAATACAACAAAGGACTACATAAGGAAAAAGTTACAGTGCTGGGAACTGCCCACGTACACACCACTTGGCCAGTTTGTCTTCAAGATGGGTGCTCAGTCTTTTATACCCCTGGGGGTTGCATCAGCCAGGCCTGGTCCCTCCCAATGTCTGTCAGTCAGCTCTTCTTTGCCATTTATTGCTGGAGACTGCTTTCCTGTAACTTGACTGGAGGTCAGGTGTTGCCATGCCTCAGCCCTAAGCAACAAGCTTTTCCATTCCCGACTGCCCCAGGTAAGGGACACATGTGCACGTCTTCTTTTTTACCTGTCCTACACAACCCAGGCTGTCTGATGGTCACAATACGGGGGGTGGGGGAGAAAAGGAAACTATGGGGCGAACAGAGGACGTCTAAACTACAATAACATAATTATACATCACTAAAGCTTTTTCTTAATATTCCCACAATAGTTATCCTTTAATTGCGAGAGCCAGTCATCTCAATATCGTTCTATAACACAAGCATGCCCCAGCTGCCATTCCAGACAAAGGCAAGGAGGTGAAGATCACACTTGCTAAACTGCACAAGTGACACTGCAGAGTTGGTGTTATGACTGAAGGAAATTCCATTGTCTTGGCTTTGTAGGGTTAACACAGAGGCAAAGACGATCACCTTGCGTGGGTGTTGTCACGATCCATTTGTACAAGTGGGGGCTGTGATGGTTCGTTGACTCATCTCAGAGTAGAAAAAAACAACGCAGAGGGGAGTTCAGTATTAATCAAAACAAATGCACCTTTTATTGAGTGCCCACAGCAATGCAATAGAGGGATTAGAAAAGGAGATAAAGGATAGACAGAGAGAGAGAGAAAGAGGGGAAAGTATAGAGCTACCAATGGAGAGACGAAATCCTCGTGGTCTGGCCAACAGAATCTGTCTTGTCATATCAGGGAGAATCTCAAAGTCTTGGTTAATTCAGGGTCTATTATAGTCCTCTGCTGAGAGGGGAACAAGTAAAAGACAATGGAAAATAAGTCTATTGAAACTACCGAGGGGGAATACGCACAATGAAGAATAACTGTATTGCAGCCATCAAGGGGGAACAGGTCATGTATGCAGCAGTGAGCAAGAGCAATTGTCTTCTTGGTCCAACGACCACACCTGCAGGCAACACTTGGCAAACATCTCGCTTTGGTCATGCCAGCCCCTGCTGTGTTAAAATTATAGGGGTCTTAGTCCTTGGGAGGGGGGCTTTACTCTCCGTTTGTCATGGTGGTCATGAACCAGATGAAGGATTTCCCGTGAGGGACCACCAAAGTTACCCCAGAAAGTTCATTTGGCCAAGAGGTGGGGAAATTCATGGGCCATTGTCATGAAGCAGGTGCAAGCATATAAGGCGAGTCATTCCTTTGCCAGCCCCTGCTCGAAGCAGTGTACCATGGCAGCACTGCGTACACAGCTGTGAACAATCACTTGGTGAGCATCCACCTCAACCAGGCCAGAACTCCAGGGAGAGTCCTCAGGGTCCCGGTGTTATAGATGGATAATGAGATGACTGGCTCTCGCAATTAAAGGATAACTATTGTGGGAATATTAAGAAAAAGCTTTAGTGATGTATAATTATGTTATTGTAGTTTAGACGTCCTCTGTTCGCCCCATAGTTTCCTTTTCTCCCCCACCCCCCGTATTGTGACCATCAGACAGCCTGGGTTGTGTAGGACAGGTAAAAAAGAAGACGTGCACATGTGTCCCTTACCTGGGGCAGTTGGGAATGGAAAAGCTTGTTGCTTAGGGCTGAGGCATGGCAACACCTGACCTCCAGTCAAGTTACAGGAAAGCAGTCTCCAGCAATAAATGGCAAAGAAGAGCTGACTGACAGACTTTGGGAGGGACCAGGCCTGGCTGATGCAACCCCCAGGGGTATAAAAGACTGAGCACCCATCTTGAAGATGAACCGGCCACGTGGTATGTACATGGGCAGTTCCCAGCACTGTAACTTTTTCCTTATGTAGTCCTTTGTTGTATTTTTGTTAAGGTTTAATAAACCTTTTTAAATTTTCAAAGTGAGCAGCTGTTTCTCACACCGGTCTCTGCCCTTGCAATGGTCGTGAGGCAAATGAGGAAAAACTGGGACCATCTCTGACAGGTGCTGGGAGCGTCCACCCTTCCTCCCCGTCATGGGAGCCAATGCCACCCCAGGGAGTCGCACTGCTGTGACACACTGCCCCCTGCAGCCTCCGGGCGGCACTGCAGCATCTCCGCCTCCACAGCTGCCAGAGTGCCCTCTGCTGGCTGCCAGTGTAACCACACCGCAGCGGACTTCGCTTCGCGGGCAGGAAAATGTCGTTAATGCGTTTTCTTCTTTGTGCTCGTTGCCGATGCTGATGTGCTTGTTTCTTTCATCTTGTTTGTTAGAGATACATAGATAGATAGATAGGTAGATAGACAGATAGATATACATATGAGAGAAATGCTACTAACTTCCAAAAATTTAGAAAGGTTTATTAAAACCTTATCAAAAAGACAACAGAAGATAGAATAGAGAAAATATAACGGCGCCAGGAGTAAAGGATCTTTCCCACTATGGGCTCACCCACACAATGGGGGTTTCGCCTTTTAACCCTTTATCCCCGCCCAAAATTCTGTCCTCCTTCCCTGCCCAGGGCTGGAGATCACTGCCTGACACCTTGACTGGAGCTCAGGTACAGCCATGGTAACGAGTGACCCTCGTAAATGCCCAAAACCCTGATAACAATGCAAGGGGCATAAAACACAACTATAAATCTATAAAACTTCTCTTAATAGATAAACATGATATCTGCCTTTTAATTGTGAGAGTCAATCATCACATTACTCAACTATCACACATAGAATAGAAAAAAACTATTATTCATTTTCCCATTCCTTTGCGGGGAAGCCATGTATTTCATAGTCATTAAAATTTTAGATGAAGAGGGTCATCTTTCCGTTCCAGGGAGGGCCACGCCAGGGCCCTGCCCTTTTTGGAACACGACTATGCTTTAAAGCAATGAAAAGAGCTGAGAAGTAAAACAAAACAAAAATCAGAAAAGTCAACTAGGTGAAAATACGAAAAGAGAATGCTTGGAGAAGATGTATAATTTCAATTAGGTGACATCTTCCACATATTTCTGAGAAAAAATATCCAATGATGTTACTGTATCCTCACAAAAAACACTTCACTTCTCAAAGGCTATAAACTGTCTTTCCACATCTGTTCCTGCACTGACATCTGAACTCTGGTGGCTGCCTTCAAAAATATAAAGTAAAAAACATGTTCCTGACTGCACAGAACCTTATAAAACCAGACAGATTAATGTGTCCATAAGCCAAAGCAAACCAGACAAAACCACAGAATAAAGGAGAGGTACAGAATCACAAAAAATCCCAGGTGAAGCATTTTGAACCGTACTAAACTGAAGGGCATGGATGTGTTTCTTTGGAGAACCCAACAGAACTGATCATGAAACAACATAACCAGAAAATCCCAATTTTCTATCTGTTTACTTATGTCATTGTTTTGAATAACAAAAACCAACAGAGATAGCCCTATGATGATGATTATACTGCTGCAATACTTCTACACAGAGCCCATGGTTCATAAATTAAATTCCAAAAAGGCTGTAGATTTTTTAATTTCTTAGCATCTGTAATACTCTCAAAAAGATTCCAAACAATCAGTTAATGTGACAGTTATTTTTGCAATGACACTGAACATTCTGCAGCAAAAAATCACCCAAAACCTTTTCATAAAACGAAGCAGGGAAATAAAATCAACTTGAATTTTCATCTTACCAGAATTCAAGTCTTCTGCATTTCTTCTCCCAGTACAGGCAGCTTCATTAGCTGACTTGGTGCTCTTCTGTCTCTTGTCAGGTGGTAGGTAGTCATCATCATCTTCTTTAAGAAACAAAAAAAGAAAAAAAATGCTTTTTTGTCCAAGGAACTCAAGTGCAGCACTGAAACAGCCTTGAATTTAAAAACTCTACTAAAATAAAGGAACTGTGTTTATCAGGGCAACAAATTTTGCAACACATTACAAACATGAGTAACTTCAGAAAGATCCACTTCTTAACTGTGAAAGGAACAACTTGTTCCTTCAAAAGGGCCTGTGCAAAGCACAAGAGAGCAAAGAACAAAGCTGCTCCTGTACTTCCTAAGGAAAACAACATTGTCTTCTGAAACATGACTGGGCATCACATAATCGTAAAACAGCCATACAACAGCAAAAGGAATCACAGAATAAATTGTGCAGATATGGACTACCTTTGTTACTTAACTGGGAGCAGTATCATTCCACTAGTAGATCTCAAAAGAAAGCACCTATGTTTTTTGTTGAAAAGCTCAAATGTTCTAAACACACATTATAAACTAGTTTAAAACAAATCGGTGCCAATGAAATTCATCAAACAGGTCAACTCTGCCTTAAACACACACAAGTGAACAGACAGGAGAACAGCAAACCTAGCAATGTGTCAGAGAGCTGCTACTCAGCCTGGCACTTCCCAATCCACCCTGATCTTCCTTAAGCTCATGAGCTTTTGAGACTACCCACTTAACAATACCTCCAACCTCAGAGAGAACAAATGGGTAGAGCAGACTAAGAAAACTAATTTCACATGCAGAAAAACATGCACCCACGTCACCAAGGGTATGGTTTACTTAGCAAGAATAACAACACATATTGACAGATCTTGTACCAGTTCAGTTCTGTTATACTCTGTCACAGAAAACCTTTCCAGAGCAATTTTACTTTTGTGGTAAAGGCCTTTACATATAAGCAGAACTCAATGACTCTTCTCATATCAAATTTTCTGTTGAGGTAACATTGCAGTTATTTCCATGCTGCATTTTAAAATGGTGAAAGCAATGCCAGAAGTGTCCTCTTTCTCACAAATGCTCTGCCTACTTTACAAATTGCTGACTGGGTGCTCTTAGTCTAATTCCACAAGCAAGCACTGCAAAAGCCAATCTCAGCAGTGTTTTAAAGCAGTTCCAGGACACTCATTCACAAACACAAGAAACACAGGTCACCTCCTACCTAGATCCCAGCATGAGGACAGCAGGGACACTGCTAAACAGCTCTAGAGCCACTTGGATGACAACGGGAACTGGTCAGTGCAAAGGTGTGGATCTCACAGTTACCAATATTAGACAGACACCTTGAGGCTCCACTTACACCACCTGCAGCACTGCCTTTCTGTTCTGGCACCATTCTTCCCAGAAGCATTTCTTAACTACAGATGTTACATAGAACTACAATGTGGTTAAAAAGCAATGGCCTCTCCAGAATGAAGCAATGTTACAACATCATCTCCGCTCAATGGGTATTTTTTATTAACAACACTTGAAAATTATGCAAAAGATACAAATTGCTGTCAGGCATCATTTCAAAACCATTCCAGCACTCCAATATGCTTCAGTATATTGTGGTTTTCAAAAACTTCTCTACCAGATTCGTTTACCAAGCAGTGCACAATCCAAACTACATTCAACACCAGCATGCAATTCTCTTCATTCACTGTGAAGTAATTCAGGCTTTGCAAAACACATTCTAGATAGAAAAATGCCCAACCAACTGAAATTCAAGACCCGTCGTACTGACCTTCTATGGTGACCTCAACCTCAGGTTTCTCACTTATTTCTGGTAAGTCATGGTGGGAGGCCTCTGAAAGGGAAAAACAGGACAGTTGAATGATGAACATGGACAAGATTTTCAACCAAACACTCCATGCCTTTGCATCTAAACCATATAGGTAAAACTTTATGAAACAAGGGCCTTGTTACCCTTGTAAAATCATGGCTCAGGCCTGCTACTTCAGCTAAGCAGAAAAGGACTATGGCAAAGTGACAAAGGTGTATTGGAGGCAGAAAAAGAAGTTATATAACCATGACGTGCTCACATTGTGGTTGGGGTGGTTGGTTGAAATAGATCTGTTACACCAAAATAGAATGTAACAGATAATGGGTTACCTGCTTTAAAAAGGCCTGTTTTTTGCAATAAACATCTCTGCTTTGCATCTGCCTGGGGACTCTGCATCACTTTGCTACGTGCAATTTATCCTCACAAAATAAAAATATACATCTCATAGGCTCTAACTGTATTTCCACATCTTTTCCTTCACTGCTATCAGAACTCTAGTAGCTGCCTTTAAAAACAAAGTAAAAAACATATTCCTGACTGCACAGAACCTTATAAAACCAGACAGATTAAAGTGTCCACAAAACCAAACCAAATCTAACCACAGAATGAAGGAGAGGTACAGGATCACAAAAAATCCCAGGTGAAGCATCTTTGAGCAGGCTAAACTGAAGAGCATGGATGTGTTTCTGTGGAGAACCCAATAGGAGGGATCATGAAAGAACACAACCAGAAAATCCCAACTTTCTGTGTGCCTATTTACGTCATCATATCAAATCACAAAAAACAACCAAGGTAACTGATGGTGATGACTATACTGCTGCAATACATCGACACAGACTCCATGGAGCTTACATGAAATTCCAAAACTGTTTCTTTTTTAGCTTAATCCTGTCAAAAAGGTACTAAGCGATCAGTTGATGTGACAGTTATTTCGCAACTATACTGAACTTTTTGGCATCACAAAATCACCCAAAACTTTTTCATAATAGACAGCAGGGAGACAAAACCATCTTTAATCTTCCTCTTACCAAAATTAAATTTTTCTGCATTTCTTCTCCCAGCACTGGCAGCTTCAGCAGCCAAACTGGGCCTCCTCAGGCTCCCTTCATTGGGCAGATACTCATCATCACCGTCATTATCATCACCAACATCAACATCATCTTTAAGAAAGAAAAAAAAAACAATTGGTTTTATGTCAAGGGAACTCGTGTGCAGCACAGGAACTGCCTTGAATTTCAGAACTAAAACAGAATTAAGGAACTCTGCCTATCAGGGCAACAAATTTTGCAAGAAATTAATTAACTGAGTAACTTCAGACTGCTCCTGTACTTCCTAAGGAAAACAACATTGTCTTCTGAAACATGACTGGGCATCACATGATCGTAAAACAACCATGCAACAGCAAAAGGAATCACAGAATAAACTGTGCAGATATGGACTACCTTTGTTATCTAACTGGGACTAATATCAATTACTAGTAGATCTCAAAAGACACTACCGATGTTTCATCTTGAAGAGCTCAAATGTTCTAAACCCACTTTCAAACCAGTTAAAAACCAATGGGAACCAAAGAAATTCATTAATGTCATGGATTGACACTGGCACAGTGCCAGTGCCCCCATGAAAGGTGTATTCCCCAAAATGGTTACTGTGAGATGTGACCCGGGAACAGAACAAAGCAGGCTCTAACTTGGGAATGGAGGAAAAAACAACACTTTATTGATCTACACAGACACAAAAAGGAAGGGGAAAACTACACACACAACAATCCACAATAGAATACTTTCAAAACACTCCTCCTCCTCCTCCCAGTCTTCTAACATTCAAATCTCCTCTAACGTATTAATTCTCATTCCAATACTCTCCTTTCACACAAGCACCCCCCCCAGTCCATCAGGAGAGAGAGAAGCCTCCCTCTTGCGCCACAGGCTTCTCCCTGAAACACAGTAGAACTTCTGTGCTTCCATGTCACACACGGCAGCTGCTCGAAGAGAAATCTGCCATGGTGACCATCTTCCTTCCATGTCCAGTGCTCTCACCACTGTCCATGGACCCAAACTACTCCTTAGGTTCTTTTTAAGAATGCTTTTCACCCAGTTCCAAGACGTGGCCGCCTCCCACCATTTGGGACACCTGTTGCACGGCCTTCCCCCCTCCCCCACCCAGACGCAGCCGGGCAAGGGAGAGGCCTGATCTGCTCACCTGCCAGACTCCAAAGAGAAAGTCTCTCTGGAAGTGTTCTACTTTTAACCCCTGTGTGTTCTCAGAAGCGTATTCAAGTCCCCAGTGGCTACACTAGGTGCTAATCTGAAATTTGGCCACTGATTGGTTTGACCATAACTTCCCAAAACCTCACTTCTAGGTCAAACCATGACAATTAAACAGCTCAACTCTGCCTTAAACACACACAAGTGGACAGACAGAAGAACAGCAGGGACACTGCTTAGCAGCTTTAGAGCCATTTATATGACAAAGGAAGCTGGTCAGTGCAAAGGTGTGGATCTCACAGTTACCAATATTAGACAGACACCTTGAGGCTCCACTTACACCACCTGCAGCACTGCCTTTCTGTTCTGGCACCATTCTTCCCAGAAGCATTTCTTAACTACAAATGTTACATCTAACTACAATGTGGTTATAAACCAGTGTGTTCTCCAGAATGAAGGAACGTCATAACATCTTCAGTGTTCAATGAATATTTTCATTACCAACACCTGAAAATTACACCAAGGGCTATAAATTGCTGTCAGGCATCATTTCAAAACCATTCCAGCACTCCAATACGCATCAGTGTATAGTGATTTTCTAATACTTCTCCACCAGATTAGTTTACCAAGCAGTGCACAATCCAAATTACACTCAACACCAGCACACAATTCTCTTCATTCACTACCAAGTAATTCAGGCTTTGGAAAACACATTCTGGGTAGAAAAATGTGTGAAATCAATGATGTGGGGAACTGACCTTCGTTACTGAACTCAGCCTCAGAATCCTCACTTGTGTCTGATGAGTCAGGCTGGGAGGGCTCTGAAAGGGAAAAAAGAAGAATGCTGAATGATGGACATGGACAAGATTTTCTACCGAACACTCCATGCCTTTGCATCTAAACCAATATTGTCAAAGAAGCCCCTTGAGCTCACAGCATGCAACAAAAATAGAAGCAAAGATATTTTACCATGAGCCTTTGAGCAATTCCAGACAAAGACAAGGAGGTGAGGATTATACTTGCTGAACTGCACTGGCTACACTGCACAGTTGCTGCTATAACTGAAGGAAATTCCAGTGTCCTGGCTTTGTAGGGTTAATACAATAATAAGTATATACCCCTCTCTTACCCAGAACTACTGAAAATATAAACAAAGGCTGCCTGTCCCCACAGATTAGGTATTTTTTTACCAGCTCCACAGACTCATGGATACTGCACTATGATGACTTCCATAACAGGCTGCAAGGGCAACAATCAAACATGGGAGGGATATTCATGATCACAATGCTTTTGTTGGGGCAGAGTGCACCAACAACACAAGCAGGATTCGCCAATCAACACTCAGTGTGAGAAAGAGCAATTTATGATTAACTGCATTACAGTTAAAAAAAGTGAAGCTAATTGTATCAGAAACCCTATCAAAATTAAGTAGCAGTGCATAAAGGAACATATTTTAGTTATTCCAGCAGAGTAAAGCTGTACTTGTGCATTTTGAAGAGTATTTTCCTTTAGATCTCTCTATGCTTAAGTATTATACCATGCTGATGGTTTCCTTTTCAAATATAAAGTAAAAAGATACCACAGTCAAAATACATAAGAAATTTTTAACAATTTTGAATCCTTACTATTTAAAGTAAGGATTTTCACAGGAGAAGTTCCAGAATTATTTTGTTAATGTGAACATGTCTCAGAAGACCCTTTTCCCATCTTAGAATTTATGGTAGCAGGATCATTCTGACCTTACAATGAAATTCAGAGTGTTAAATGCAGGTCAATATTTTCTAGCCTCTGCAAATGGGCAATCTACTTTTAATGTAAACTGTAAACGGTTGAAAAAAATTGCACCATTTTTTTCTGTAAAGGCATTTTGGCTACTACAGAGTTTTGGTAAGGTACTGCTTTGACTAACACAGACTTTTGTATTTATTTATTTATGTGCTCATTCACCTCATACTCAACTGAAAAGCATAGTGAAGTTGCACTTATAATTTATAAAGCAGAGTTGTATTAAATCTATAAGTCATTATGAAACAGACTGAATTTCTTGAGAAATACCAATTTACACAAACAACAAGCTCTTTAGAGTGATCAACCTGATGCTCCTCTTTGAATTTAGAAAAGGAAGAAATTAAGTTCCCACCTACATGTCTGTCTACTTGGACAGCTGGAAAGTAAAGCAACTGTAATTTTTATTTCTATTCATGTTTAAGTTCCAATACCCTCAGTTTTATGGCAAATCAAGTAGCTAAGCTGTGAAAAGCAAAACTCACACACTAATTTCTAAAACAGATGTGAGGAAAAAATACAAGCAAAAGATCTACCTGTATGACTTTTTTCAGGAGCAATTTTTTCTTCTATCTCTGATGTTTTGGAAGGGCCTGCTTGAGAACAAGAGAGAACAGTTTTTAAGGGTGTCTCACAACAAACACATACTTCCAGCCCATACAGGAATTTGCCAAGTAACTTTTAATTTCCTATATTATGTGCTCACTTCATACTTTCTGTAATGTTAAATTTTGGAAAGACACTGTTAAATATTAAATATTTTAAAAACCTTCCTTACTTGGTTCAATAGACTAAAAACGGGGTTCATGGCAGCATTGGACTACTGAACAGTCAAGACACACATGCTGAACAGCAGGTTTCAACTAGTAAACTAATTTTTAAAAAGAAATGTTGATGCTTTTGCCTTTCTTCAATGATACTTTAATCAGCTAGATCTTTTTCCTGTTCATTAAAGTTTATATTCCTAAGGAGTATTCTTTGACTTCAACATTCCTACCTACATTTAATACATAAATTCATGGGGATTAAAGTAATTTATGACATTCTGAGGCTGCTTACTTTTCATTACAACAGTTCTTTTGAAGACTACAGCCTGGTTAAAAAAAAACACTGTGCAGAAAGCAGCACAGAAACTACACTTAACAGATTAACACTCCTAAAATCCTACTGCTTGCTGCTGCAGCTCTCCTGCAGCTATGCAGGGGGTGAGCTGCTTACAGCACAAACAACAGCACACTGAGCAAGAGGCCATTCTATACCACAGAAATAGCACAGGTTTTCCATACCATGGAAGACCTGCCTATGTGTGGCAAACAGGACTAACTGGAACTGACTGGTTTGGGCTAATTGTTCTGTGTAAATCCAATAATTTCTGTGTGCATTTGCAAAAGCAATCTGCAGAAGCTCAGTTGATCAGAAATTCTAGTTGTTTAGAGATATGTGCATAAGTGGATCAGCAAAAGTATTAATAGTGCCACAACAGAAAAGCCACTGTTATTTACTAAGGCAATGAAATATTCTAAACTCTATTTCATCTGCACAGTAAAAAAGAAAATATAGAAAGGACTATTGTCACAATCAGACTTTGTAAGTATTTCAGTTAACTGAAAGTACATATACAATGTCAAATAAGTGAATATTTAAGTATTAAAGAAAATAATGATAATTAGGTGGTTACAATAAAGCTAACTTGAACAGTTCTGCCTAATTTGATTATTCAGATTTTCAAAGAGATTAAAAATGAACAGCATTTCAAGTGAGGACTTATGCAAAGTTGTTTGCTTGAAACACATTTCTTTCAGCAAGTGCTGCTTAGATCTGCTCCTGCCACTTTTCTTTACCCCCTTTTTTTAAAATCTGTTTACTTCAGAGGAGCTCCCTGATTTTGTTCAAAACACAGCTCCCAAAGACTGATGTTGGCACAGCTGAGACCTTAGTCCAAAGATGGAGAAAAATAGGGAGGAAAAGGAGCCAGAGACACTGGTGGTCCTCCAGGCCTCAGCAGAAAGAATTCTCATACCAACAGTGTCATCTGCAACTGTTAAGGGTGAATAGAACACAACCCCCCTGGGTGTGCTGAAAATGTCTCCATGGACTAAATTTGCTTTTATTTAAATCAGCAGATGCACCCAGTCAGGTTTGTCATTTCCTAAGAACTTCTGTGAACATGCAATTACTATAATTCATAAGGCACTGACACACAGAAGTATGCATCCCACTGTAACCAAATATCTCAAATTATGCACATAGTTTTGCATTTATTCCTTAATTCAGAAATCCTGACAGGATTGTTTTACCCCCATATTCTGAAGTATTCTCTATATTGCATTACCTTTGTACCAAATATATGCTGTGACAGCAGTAGAAAAAGAAAACTAATAGTCTTTCACGCATTTAAACTTGAAGAAATATTCCCCTAGTTAAAAAGATATACTTAGTAGATTTACAGCCCTTGGGATTAAGCACAGATAATTCAGTCCTTTTATCTGTAATATTGATAAAAACTACAATACATGTAGTAAAACTATTAGATTTTTTTTTCAAAAGTGACCAACACAGATGATTTCATGAAACTTGAACATTTTTTCCATGTTATGAAGCTTGGACAGAGGAAAAAAAACAGTATGAAGAAGTTGTTTCAGAAATTAAAACATGTCAAACAATAGATTCTGCTATCCTAATTTAGTAAAGATTAGAAAATTAAATTTAAAAGAGTTCTACCACCAAGAGATATCAATAAAAACAGATACATTTCCACTTTACTGCATTAATGCACACAACAGGCAGAAATACACAGATAGGAAATAACCAAGGAAAGCAAAAATCAAGTACAGTGGTAACCAGACCAAAAGAAATTCCATCCAGAAATAAAGATATGAAAAAAAAATCACAAAATAGAAAAAAACCCAAAACTTAAGAAAGAAGAACTAAATTCTACCGGTGAAGGTAGGATGTAGGAGGAGGGATGGACACAGAAGTGGGAGATTTAATTACTAAAACCACAGGACACCTTAGAAGTAAAATCTTTCAGTATGCTTATGTCTTGGAATCTGAACTTCAGATGTGTAGGCAAAGCTAAGCAGTTTCACCTTGAACCAGAGGAAGCAGAGATATGCTCTTGAGCTAACAGCCAGCTCTCTTACACAGCACAGGCCCTTGGGAGCTCTCTAACACTCACACCAAAACTTGGTCTTTCATGAGCAGATAAATAAATACATGACCAATCACTGCACCCAAAGCACGTGCTTGGTCTAAGATTGAGCAGCGCAGTGGAACCTCTGTAAGAGATTGCTGTGGGCATAAATTGAAACTCCTGAAATGTCTGTTACAAATAGGTGATTTTTCACATTCTAACAAATCCATTAAAACCAAGAGTAGGTGTCACTCCCTCAACAGTCACAGCTATTCTTTCTGTCTATCTACCCACACACCAATTTACTTACACTGATTCCAAACCTCTCAGCCTCAGTTTCTAATGGATTATGTCCTAATGTCCTAACATCACACAGCCAAACCTATGCCACTTGGCAGAAGGAATGGATTTGTCACCTCATGGATAAGCAGTGCTCACTTTTCTGGCCTTTTTTAGGTTACCCATATAGTAGCAATGTGAACTAGATGTGATTCCCTTTAGGAAGCACAACATTGTGCTCAATATGTATTCTGGAATTTCTTGGTTTAAGATAATATCTGCACTCAGTGTTACATGCCAGCCTAACTTCACAGATTTAGCTCCATTAAAATGGACATTACATCTAGTATTCTGAGAGATGCCCAAAGGAGAAATATTTTGTTGCTAGACACATACTAACAGACATTGATTACTTTTAAGGTTTCAGAGTGAGAATAAATGCAAAGTTTACATTCACATTTTGGGCTTTTTCTTTGTAGAAGACGACATTTTCAATCTCATTTGGGTTTGGATGAGTGTCCTGTATTTTAACTGCCTCACTGACATTGTCAAAAATTCCAAAACTGACAGCACTGTTCAACTACATGGTGTTTTAAAGAGAAAAGCTGTTAGGCAGTTTTTTACTCACTTCTAGGTGTTTTATAAACTGAACCAGGTGATTCACAGGACAGACTGTTTACAGCCTTTTCCTTCTGCTTCCATTTTTCTTCGTTTTAAATTCAAGGCATCAGTGCAGACCTACATTCACAAAATTTACAGGATAACACGCCACTTTTACAGTGTTTGGTCTTAAGTCAGCAAATAATTCAGTTCTGTATGGGTTATGCCACCAAAAACCCTGCTTCATCTTGTGATGATAATGCACAGAGCATTCAGCGCTCACTCAGCAGTGTCGCACTTTTGAGCCCCAAAGGTTTGTTTTCATACAGGACAAATGGGGTATTCTCAAATCTGAAAATACATCTGACTCTGGAGAAATGATTATTTAATTTGTTAATTTCTAGTAAAAATACTAAATTATATTTAAACCACTAAACCAAGAAACAGCATTCTCAGTTATGTTTCTTTTCATAAGAGCCATAGTAACTGATACTTACAGGTAAGGCACAGGCAAGAATACTAGCTAATATAGCTGGAATGCTCCAGGATGTGTCACTTAATCCTGATGAACAGTACTCAGTCCTTCTCCTCATTTAGTCAATCACTAAAATCTGGACCTTTTTGCCAGAACAGGTTGTCTTTGGTCCCCCCCAAAATTTAACACTGCAGTAACCTTCACATTTGTCCTGGACACTCAGAAAGAACATCCACTGCCATAGTGTTTGTACTAGTTTGAAAGCAAACCAGTGGGAAATTCCAAGTCAGAACAACCATTTAATAGGAAAATTAAAATAAAAAGAGAAAACACTGGCTTAAACTGACAGCGAATACAACATACACCCTGTTGGTCAGGGTGGTGGTAGCAGTGCAATTGAATGGTGGCTGCAGATCTGTTGGAGTGACAGATGCGGTTCTGTTGAAGCAGTGTTCCTGAAGAAGGGTCTGGTCTTCCTCTGAAGGTCCAGTGGTGGTTATGGAGCTCTTGTTCTCTAGGAATTCAATAGGTAAGGCTACCCATGGTGTTCCAAACCTCAGATTATATCCAAGTAGGAATGCTTGGTTTCTCCCCCTGGGCAGAGCATCTCACAATGGGATGATGTAATTTATGAGTCATGCAGTGAGATTTGATGGCCCATTAACAGAGACAGACCCCAGAGCTATGAGGGATGAGTCATGGAGGAGATAAGGAACACTGCCCCACCTGTTCTAACAGCTTATGAAGATGTAATAGAATACATACTTTTGGCTGCACCTTGCTTTGTAACTTAAGACAGTTCTAGAGCCCACTGACAGCAAACTGCCCCTTATTCTCTGTCAATACACCCACATGAAGTTTTAGATGGCTGAAGTCCTTACTTCTCGGTCATCTTACTGTGTACTGCTAAAACAATTCTAAATTTAGTAATTCGGTATTAACTCATAGCAACATCTAAATGGTGCAACCTTCAACCGAGATGAGAAGAACATCCACCTACAGATATAATTTTCCCTCTCTGATTAACAGGAAGAGGTAGTGTGCCACGCAGGCACACAGCACATTGATCAGCATTACAGATCTTAGAGAGGAAGCACTTAAGAGAAAAAATACAAAAATACATGAAATTTTATCAGTGAATCATTTTCTCCAGGAAGCCCAAGCAGATTGCTATGCTCTAACACTTTAAGTTGTTTCTTCTCAGAAATGGATAAGCCTGGCTTTTGTTGTAGGTTATTTTTAGCAAAACTTATTAGCTTATCTGTTTTCTTTATTTTGTAGCACACCTGTCCAAAGGCAATGCTGGGGCAGACTGTCATTCCTCAGGAACACCCCTCAGAATAATCACTTTTTAAAGGTTCACTTCTGGTACAGCACCACAACCCACACACAAACACCTATGTGCCTTCAGAATTTATAGCTCTATAGTCTGGACACCGTTTGGCTTGAATCAGAGTGCTAGCTACAGGAAGAAGGAAGGGGAAGCTGCTTTACTTGTCTGGTCAGCGTGACTTGACATGAAAGAGAAAACGTCTTTTAGCTCATAGCACCCCATCACTTCTGCCAATATACTCAGTTCTGTTGTGCTTTAAATGCCATTTTGGACAACTACACTGCAGGCAGAGAGAAGGAGTTAACCATCAAGCACCACTTTATCAAAAAGAGATACATATTTCTCTCCATCAATCAGAAGATTTAAATTTAGAGTTCTGTGAAAGACAACAGAAATCCCCCCTGTAAATGTGCTTAGACTTCACTCTGGAAGCATACTGCATGACTTGGATTTTTCACCTGCAATGCAATGGATACTATTTTGTAAAGAAGCTATTTCAGCGCAGAGTCTCTTCAGATGGCATTGAGTTACACTGTGGGCTATTGGCCAAATTCGGACATCATCTGTATGCATGAAATGGAAAACCACAATGGGGATAAAAAGCAAAAGGATGAGAAGACTTGGCATTGCAAAGACCAATGATTGTCTTCACACAGGTATCTACTTTTACCACATTAAATCATGCCTCTAAACGACTAATTTGCCTAGCCTGTAAGCCTCCAAGGCTAGGCAATGTACACATACAAAAAGCAGATAATCCTAACACCTTTCCAGTTCTGCACTCAAAGGGTGACACTTTGCTATGCTGTGGTTGAGATCTCTGAATGATGCTCTTATGTTTCTTGAGATATAAGTATTGATTCCACATCCCCATAGTTAGTTATTAAAGCACATTAGAAAATAGTCTCAATAATCTTCTTGTCTGAACACACACAAAATGTTATCATAATAATATATAATATTGCAAAATGAAGGGATGTGCTGTTTTACACTTCACTGTTGAACATGTAACTGTCATTGAGAGATGAGTGGCAGCTTGCCCATATTTCTTTGTATTACTCAATTAACGTAATGACAAGTACATGTAAGTTGAAATTATAAATTTAAGGTTTTTGCTATTTTATATTGCCATTAACAGTCACAATTTCTTAATTACCATTCATGTCAACATAAAGAAAAAACAATTTTTGCTCTTTCCTCGCTGAGGTGAATGTGTAAGCTGGATACAAAGAGGTGAGGCAAAGCAACTGGGAAAAAATTTAAAACATACATGGAGGCTGAGCCATGGGCCTCAAATATTGTTATGCTTTGTCCACATAAATAAACCATTCAATACAATTTTGACATATTTTTCATTCCATACAAGAGAAGTGATTGATACACTCCCAATCACAGAGTCATAGAATGGCTGATTATATGATGCACAGTGTATAAAAGTTACTGAAACTTTAAAGAAAAAATTCAAGCAGTGCTCTAGAAAGCATCACTATAAAGGTTTATTTCCTATTTAACAAAGTCATTGAATTATTGAATCTGCACATTGCACCCTCAGAAAAATACATCAAGCAGTTTCAAAAGACTCCTGGAACTTCTTCAGGCCAAACACACACATTTGGCTTTGGAATTAAGTTGTTCTCTAGGTCTTCTGTTATTCTTCATAATAACTTACATGATAGGCAGCATGGAAATGCTGTATCCTAACAGTGCTAAGTAATTGCATGTTTAATGACCAAAATTACTAAAAAGAGAGGCATGGAGGGATCAACACTTAGGCAACCAATAAACACATATGAAAATTAGTATAATTACCTGGAGTATTAAATTGATAGTAGTTAGGATCATCTCTTTCCTGCTTCATTGTTACTGTTGACATTTTGGAAGAAATTCCTGTAGAAGCAACAAAGGAATCAAATATGGAAACCAATAATAAGCAGATTCTTTAAACAAAACAAACAAAAGCACCCACCATGATCCTCGTTTGTCTCTATAAAAAAAAAAGAAAAATAAAAAGGAAAAACACAAAAAGTTACACATTTGTTGAGCTAAAACAATGGTAACAAAGTTATCTAACCAGCATGTTTCTTATGTTTCAGTTTGGTAAACCCCAGAAATAATCTAGGATTAAATACCTCCCTACAAACTAGGCTTCCTTGAAGATGCTGTCTAAGATCTGAAGAATATTTTTTAAATGGGCTCCTTCCTCTTTGCATGCTACCACAAGAAAAAAAATATATTTTATCACTCATTGTGCTGAAAGTCCTGGAAGAGTTCCTGCTCACTTTTCTGTAAGAATTAATTAAAATGTCTAAAAAGCAGCACCGGAAAGAGTCTGGGACAGACTTGACAAAAAGTTCACATTGACGCTTTGTGTATGTTAAGCTGAACATAAACCACAACTGTAAAATTGTGAAGCACAAATAACAAGAGCAAAAAGATGGACTACATATGAAAACTTAATTCTAATAGGAAAGTGAGCAGTGCAGCTCAACCCAGCAACAGGGAAAGTCACCAGTTTATCCCCCAGCACACCTGCTTCCTCACTGGCTTTAATGGGATTACCCATGCCTTTATCTCACAGCACACACTTCAGCATTAGTCTGCCACAGATCACAGTGCCTTGGGGAATCATTTGCTACCTGCAGAGCAGCTTAGGAATAATCTGGCAATTTTTAAATAACACATCTTGTTATTCACGAGCTTTTTACTTCTATTTTAGCTACAAAATAGGTATTTTTTCATTTTTAATATTTTAGGAATATTAACAAATAAATTCTTCTCTAAATTACAAAAAGATAAATTTAGTTTACAATGTATTACAAATTTTTGTAATTTGTAATTTCCCTCTTGAAATGGAAGCATTTGGCTTGGGTTCAATATTTGATAAAAACTCCAACTGAAAAATGGACAGTTTCAAGGAAAGAAATGTTATTTCATCTCACCAAGGATGTCTTTTTGCTCCTGTTCTTTCCTGTTTTTTTTTTTTTTTTGGAGCTTTTTCCCCCCTGTCTTTGCTTAAGTTCAGTCTTCTAACAAAATATGGCTTTTTTTTTTTTTTTTTTTCTGCAAATTAAGACAAAATTTTGAACATACCAGAATCCTTGCTTGGTTCCGTTTTCACATTAACAGGTGGACAACTATAAAATTAAACAAATGAAACAGAATAACATTATTAAAAACAAACATTAGATTTCTGGAAAGTTCTTAAAGCTTTACAGCTTGTTAAGCAAAATCAATCTCTCAGATTTTTTTTTCTAACAAGAACATAAAATTAAAAACCCCTACATATTGGCTTATCTGATCTTTTACAACTGAATTGTCAGCAATCTCCTTTTCCTACATTTTTTTGAGGCATACATAATATTCAGATCATGTTTAGCATTTAATGAGAGGGAAACACAGAAGTACATAAAACTGATCCCTGCTTTCACATTAAAATTTTTTTGACATGTTACAGATATAATATCTTCATTTACTAATTTTTAAAAAATCACTTTTTTCAAATTGAGGAGGGGGAAGGAAGCAACATTACATCTGTTCTCTCTCACTGCTGTACCATAAAACATGGCAAACTTATCCCTGATTAACAGACTGCGTATTAAGAACACCTATTTAAACTAAAGAGAAACTTTGCTATTTGTTTAACTTGTAACAGTTTCCTCACAAATAATGATCAAAAGAAAGAAAAGATTGAGCTTCATGCTTTTTATAATGCCAAGCAAGCAAAAAATTATTCAAAGATCAGCTGGGCAGAAAAAGCACATTGAGACAAAGATAACACGAAAATAGATAGTTGATTAAAAAAACCCCCGGACATTATTTTAAATTCACCTTTCACATGGGGGTATAACTGAAGGTGAAGGATCTGTCACATCAGCTTCTGAAAGTTAAAAGACAATATTTGAATTTCCTGTACTCCATTTACTTTAAGCTCAAACTGAAAATATAACATTGATTTCACAAAGCAAAAGTCTGTTCACATTTTACAAGCATATGTGCATATTTTTCTTATTCAGAGATAATGAAAGATCCTGTTAAACTGTACTGAAACAGCTTTAGAATGTCACTTAGTACACTGAAAACCTACCTTGTATTTTTGATAGAACTATATGATTAACAGAATTTCTGTAATATTCCATCTCTAGTCCTCAACCTGTCCATAGGCAACACATCTCTAATTTTACTAATCAAGCATCAACTGCTGGCTCTTTCACTTAAAAAATTAAACTTTTCCTTTTTGACTACATTCCTACAGAGACTGCTTCATAGTTTTCATAAAACAAATCCCCACACTTATGCATTTAGCAAGTAAAGGAACATGACACCATAAAAGGAAGAGGAGAAGGGATTTCTCCTAAGCTAGAAGTGAATATCTCTAGAGTTTTACAGTACTCACTGCAGCCCAGAATTTTTCATATATAGAGTCTTCATAGGAACTACAACGCCTAGCCACTTCAGAAGATTAAGTTACTTTTTAAAATTAAATATAATTGCCAAACTCAGCTGGGTAGTGGAACACAAGCACTAGAATGTCTTGGCACCTTCTAAAAACTGAAAGCAGCCCTTCCTATGTTCACTTCTCCTAGGATAGTAGACAATTCACATTAAATTGAAATTCAGTAAAAAGACAAAGAATTAAACAGAATGGACTTGATCAAGACAAAGAATGAAAGAGGATGAATTATCTCTCATGAGTTGCTCCTGGTAAACACATAAAGGAAAGGTTTATATATAGCAAAGGGTTACTTATAAGTAAGGCAACTCACAGTCTAGAAATTTCTGCAGTTTGCCACTTTATTTACATGACCAAATGCTCTACATATACTGCTACCTAAACTCAAATTCCAATCTTTTTCTGTTTAGTCTGAATAAGGATTAACTTACCAATCTGTTTCTTTGGTTCTAGGATAGGCCTGTGGGGAAATATGGGAAGAAAAACTCAGTTTTAGCAAAGACACTGTTAATTACTTGGTAGTGTACATTACAGAGAGAATTCCTGCATAAGAGAAACAGTCTGCAGTGTATTTAATTAAAAATTAAAAATAGTTTTACTTAAGTACAAAACCAAGTTGGACAGACCAGCACAAGAAAGAGAGCAAATAACCTGCTGATACTAAATGAGATCTCTGATTTATTTTCCAAAATCCATTTCAGGGTGGAAATATCATAATTTGATGGATGTTTAATGGTGATTCCTTCAGGCAGGCCCTGCACTATCACAGCAGACTGGTTCCTCTGAATCTCTTCATATGGCACAGGTACTGCTGTTGACTTTCCTAAAGCTTTACCTAGAAAAAAAGAGGAGTTGTTGTGATGTCAAGTTAGCAAAAGAAAGAGTCCCTCATAAAACTTTGTAACTTTGGAGAGAACTGGGACAAAAGCAATGTGTGGATGTGAATCTTCTCAGAAAACCAAATCCTGCTGGCACTAATACGCACTGTGCAATAATCTCAAATCACATCCCACAGAACACATCAAGAAGAACCACTATATGTGTATTTTTTAGGAACAGCTACTAAAAGTTTCTAAAAATAGCAGTGTAGATGGAAGGCTAAGATCATGCAGTTTTTTCCTCCCAAATGGAATAAAAATTTAAAAATCTAGAACAGCTCTTCAGAAGAATTTAAAGCACCCACCATAGGAAAAGCAGAAAAACTCCTCCACAGACTTTCTAAGAGCCTCCAGGTCCTCAGCATCCACCGTCTGTTTGTTTACAGGTGGTGTAGTCTTTGTTTTCTGCACTTCTGGAGGCCTGTCTTCTGTAACACCTGGCAGTTATTTATAAAAATAAGACAAGCATAAAATAGTAAGTTATTAGAAGTGCCTAATCCCACCACTTTAGAGATTCTCAAGCAGGAGCCCTGCCAGGAAATTGCAAGAATTTACTTGTATTAGAAGCAAATGCACGCAACTATGTACATAAGCAATGAGCAAATTTAAATTTACACCAGAATTATTATATCCTCACTACAATCTTTGCAAATATCACCCCCTGAAATTAAGACACACATCCAAGGAGGATTTTTTTTGACATGGAGAGATTGAAAACACTATTAATGTCACGGGAGGACAATACAGTCAAAATAAAATGCTAAACTGCCAAGAAAAGAAGGACCAACAGAGTCACCAAGGAAAAGGTAAAATGCCAGCGTGAAGGGTCCCACAGCTCTCTAGTGCTGTGCATGCCATCTTATGCAGCAGTTCTATTATGTCCTGGTTTATTTATTCTGTATGTGCTTTGCAGAACATTTTACAGAAGAGATCTGACTTTTGCCATGACAGCTCATCTCTTTCAAAGGACATTTTGAGTACACACCTCCTACTGCTGTGTAAGCGAAGCTACAAACAAGACATCATCACGCAAACAGAGAAGATTTCAGCCCTACGTCTTGTTCTAGTCTCTGAGCAAAAGTCACTGCAAAAGGAGTGAGGAAGAACACTTCCAGTATTAAAAAGCAAACAGAAGTGATGGTTTCAGGTGGCAGCCTTCCTTTCTCATAATTTAAATTCTTGCTAAGATTTACTGAGAATCATCCAGTAACACCAGAGGCAGAGATATGCTTGCCTACCTTGAAGGAAAGGCAAGGGAGATCTGTGTTCCTTTGTGCAAGAGCATGATCAGTGCTGAAGCTGTCATGACTTCACCACCAGCCAGCACAGCAGTAAGCCTGAAACACTGCGATGTGCATCACCAGGACTGCTGGCATCAGAATTCTACACTGACACAAGAAAACAAACATCAGTTTGAGCAACTGATTACAAATGGGCTGTGAAATGAGCTGAAGCAGCAATGCTTTTAGTAAAATCACAATTATCATCTTAAAAACTCGTATCTTCATTTCAAAGAGAATCTCATCCTTCCTCTGCAGATCATACATCTGCTTCGTGCTCTGGAAACCCACCTCCACACGACATTTAGCTTGCCAGCTCTTCAGGCCTGAAACTTTTGCATTCTCTGCAGTATGACAGGGCCTATCATAACACGAAAAATAATGCAAAACTGGGATATTGTTATATACCTGTAACACAGGTGCTTAATCAATGACCACATTTAAGATTTGCCTGTGGACTTGGGATAAGACATCAACTTCCATTTACAGCTACATCTAACGTAGCTTTTCGAGTGGGCGTTTTTCCTATGTAAGAAACTGATTCACTGAAAATGCCTTTACTGCCAGCAGCTTCAGAAAGTGTACCCACACTTTCTAAAAATAATAAACAAACCAAAATTAAGATGACAACACTGTCCTCTTCATATGAAAATGAAAAGCAGACAGAAGGTGGAGAAATTTTCTTTCTTAACTAGAAGACACCCTTATGGGTTTTTTTCATTACATGATTTTTATGCATTTTCTTAAGATCACATTACGCATCTGCCTCTCTAATCCCTCCCATAATTGTTGGCCAATTTTAATCAAGACTCACAAACAAGATTAAGTTTCAAATGCAGCAAGACTTGCAACAGCCGTGCACAACTGATCAAACCTAGCAGGCTTTCACTCCTCCTGGCACTACCCCAATGGACACACGAACCCTTGGAGGCTAAACAACTTCACAGGCTCTTCCAAAGCCCTTGCCACAATTACTGGAACCCTATCAGGATTGGGGCTACATCTGGGAGGGGATGTCTGGGACATATGCACCAAGATCTGGTGCAGAAGAGGGATGAGGGGGCTATATTTATGGCTCATGAAGGGGGAGGGATGGTTATCTGGTAAAAGAATAGCATTCTGCTATAGTTGTGACCATTAAATCCTGTGGAATTAATTTCACTACTCTTCTGGATTCAGGAGGACTACAACTACACAACTCCCAACAACCCTCATTTTGCAATGAGAGTCAATATACGCTTAAGTGTCTTATTTTCTTCAGCTGTCCAATGTTTTGGTTCTTCAGAATATCCTTCCCTACAGGTCTGACAGTCCAGCACCACTTAGCTGGAAAAGGAATCTCCCAGCTGTCCCTGTTCTAAGAACAAATCCAACACTGTCCTCATCTCACCAAAGACTAAGAAACAAATAAATGAAGCTTTAGCAGAAAAACAATTTACTTAACTGAAACTTCTTCAAAAAAAAAACCAAAAAAACATGAAGATGAGATGCTCAATAGAGAATCAGGTATCTGAAGCTGACAGATCTCAGGACTCTTCTAGCAAAAGAACTGTCAGTCCCATGGCAGTTAAGGCATCTTAGAACACCAGAAGGTTTTTAATCTGGTGTCTTTCAATCCCTCAGGGAGAGAAAAACAAGAAGTAATTTTACGAATATGAATGTGACCCCTGCACAGACACTCTGAGAGGCAACATAAGAGCAACAACAATCTTGTGACACCACTCATATACATGTATTTCATAATTTGTACTTAAGGAAAATTACTGCAATGAAAGAGGGAAAGAAATGGGTGCATAGCTAAAATCATTTTGCTTTTGTTATAATGTCATTCACTCAATTAATCTGTGAGCTTTTTAAGGCCATCCAGCTTTACAGTTCATTACATTGGAAAATTTTCTCAAATTAAAGAAAAGTCATTTTATAACTATCACAGGATCACTTGAACCACACAAAAGGTCAATCACCTGAAGCAGAATTTAGGAGGCACAAAACTTCAAAAATACTGACTATCTACAGTAATTTTCTGTTTGTTTTTGACTCTGAGGGAACAAGATATGTGGTTTCCAAGGAAATGGGACTGAACTTTCCCCACAGGTTTTTAAACGAGCTGTTAACTTCATACCCCTTAGCTGACTAGGCAGAGACAGAACATTAAAGGCTTGTGGCAATCAAGCCAAGCAACCTAGCTGTACAAGTTACTCAGAAGGATTCAAAGAGACAGAAGCCTAGCTGCAGATCTTCAAGCAGGTCCATGGTAGCCTAGCTTATGGGAAGAGTCATTTTACTTGTCTGCAGATGATGGAATACATCCAAGAGGAAACAGATACTCACATACCAAAAAAACATTCTGAGGAGCCAAAACTGAGCAATCTTTCCCATAAAGTCTGTGGAGAACTGCATTCCATTCATTCTTCCTGAGCAGCAGGAATGGCTGTGTTCTTACATTAAGAACACTCAGATTCTGAGCATTCCTGAAACTACAAGAAGTTCTTACAACCTGTGGCTGGGTGGACATGGAGGTACAAGTAAGAAGAATAGAAGACTCTGGCCCAAAGTCTCTAGCAGGACTTGAAGTCAAACTCAGGCCCATACCAGATGCACTGTTAAGGTCAGTGTGGAAACCCAAGGCTATCAGAAGAAAAATGAAGGTTCCAAAAATAAAGGACCTATCCAAGATGAAACACCTACAGGTGCAAGATGGCCCCAGTCTCAGGCAAGTGAGCCCACCGAAGGAAAAAGCAGCATGACTGAGAGAGCTGCCAGAAGTTGCAGAAGTAGCAGAATTAAGCTTCTCTGCAACCTACATATTAATGGTGTAGCAGCCAGTACCAGTGGAAATGCTAGCAGAGGCAACTGGGATTCTTGGAGAAGAATTGTCTCCTTGGCAGATGGGATGGAACGCATGGTGCTGGGTAAGTATCTTTCAAAATCCAGAACAGGTGACCAAAAGTCAGGAAGGTCTTCTGAAAGTTCCCTTCTGACAGGCAAATACAACCTGGGGAAAACTGTGGTTCTGAAGTAATGTTTTCTTGAATTACCAACACTGTTCTCAGGGACAAAGGCAAACTACTTCCAGCATCAAGACTCCCCTGAAAGCATGGCAGATGTGCACTTGGTGAAACCATGAAAGCAACGACTGACAACAGTTGACCTTGTTCACACAGATCTATGCTATAATGTTCTGCAATAATCATAATGGAAACACTGTTTTCAAAGTTAATATTCTTTAATCCTATCAGCCTGACAGTACAAAAACACAGCCCAAGAACAAGTATCTTGTAACAGAAATAAAGCAAAAGGTGAGGATTATCAAAACTGATGCAGTATTTAAACACAAGCATGCATCTATAGAAACCACACCTCATACAGCCAAATACAAGCATGCATGAGAAGCCAGTGCTTCCCACAGTACAAAATCTGAAACAGAGATCTAGCCAGGAGATCAAACAGCAAATCCCCATAATTTCAGATTCCCTACTAATAGTGAGTCCACCACACAAAGTCCCTGGTAAATCAGGGCCCATGATACCACTGTACTGGCAATAAAACCTAGTACCTACGTTGTCAGAAAAGTCATTTAAGCAACAAAAACAAAACAAAAAAAGCAACCAGATGAAAAACTGAACTCCCTCCCCAGTACTTAGCAGTTTTCAAAAAAAAAAAGTATATGAAGATTGTCCCGGTAAAAAAATGAATAAAAAAGAAAAATAAATTGATTCATCTTATACTTCATTCCTCAATTGGGTTACAATTCTACATTTTGATATCAGTTATCTGTTACAACCCAACACTATGGTGACTTTGCTTGGAGTAAATATGTGCACAGAAAGTCACTGTCCATGGCAGTAGGACAAAAAAAATCCCAGAGCCCTACTGTCTTAGGCTTCAAGATGTGGCTGGGGGTGTGTATTCTATTCCCATCTGTCAGAGCTGGGTTTTTTTTGTACTTTTGTATTTTAGTTTTTCCTAGCAAAGGACTATTATTCCTAGTCCCATATCTTTGCCTGAGAGCTCCTTAATTTCAATATTATAATAAATCAGAGGGAAGGGGATTACATTTTCCATTTTAAGGGAGGCTCCTGCCTTCCTTAGCAGACACCTGTCTTCTTCAAACCAAGACAACTACCACAAACAACTGACCTTGAGACAGAGCCTCCAAGACAATTTTATGTAGCAGCAAAAGCATTTTTGGGAGTAAGCCTTTCTGTTACAGACTAAACGCAGTTGCTTTCCAAGCAGTATTTAACTTGACAACACCTTGACAGTTTTTTAAACTCCTCCTCAGAATGATTCTTCTATCATACCCTACCTTTAATTTCTCTCTTTCTCTAGGCAAATAATTGCCTAATTTTTTATATTATTTATAATATAAAATTATTATTTTATATTATATTTTAATTTATATTTTATTTATAATAAATAATTTTGTTATTTATTAGGTAGTGTCCACCACTAATACCTACCTAAGTCATACCCTACCTTTAATTTCCGTTTTCTCTCTTTCTCTAGGCAAATAATTTTGTTATTTATTAGGTAGTGTCCACCACTAATACCTACCTAAATGAGTGCATCAGTGCTCCCCTAAATCATCACAGAATCTTTGAAACCTATCTCTAAAAATACTGTCCTATATGAATGAATCAATGAATCAAGTTTTTTAACACAAAAGTTCCACTGTTTTACTGTAAAAATGAAATTAAACACAAAACGCACCCTAGATGTACTTAAAGCAGTACAAAAGTACTTAAAATGCAGATGCAATTTTAAGTCATTATGGTACAGATGCGTACTTCTGTCTACGACATAAAAGTGATATAAAATAGCTACATGAACAAATACTATCTTGCCAAAACTGTGCATCTGCTTTAGTAAAGCATGAACTGATCTGAAGAACCAGGACCACCTGAGTTGACAGAAGCACTTCTCTACCTATTCTGTGCTCTCCTCAGTCTTCCTGAGTGGAAAAAAAGTTTGGAGGAGAGGATACCAAAAAAAAAAAAATTAACACACACTAGGAAATGCAGGTTGTATTATAAGGGTGGACTGTCTAATACTTCTTATTGTACTATTTTTCACATTATCTAAGAAAACATGAACGTTTCTAGACACTGCAGAAATAACACTACAAACAAGACCACTGTTACTGCTCATTTTACAGCTTGATTTGCATTAGCCAACATAACTATAGTGCACAGCCATGATAGACAGAATTTTGCTCCCAAAATCATTAATACTATGCAATATACATTATGCAGTTTGTTGTTACAAAAATAAAACACTGAAACTTACAGTATTCAATAAAATCCGTCTTAAAATCTTCTCTAGCGTTGACAAAGGCTTTTCCTCTCTCGGTGCCAACAACAAAAACATTTCTTGCATATACACCAATACAGGCAATTTCTGCCTTGGACTTGGAAAGTTCTTTACACTAGAAAAAGAAAAAGCTTTTATTACCATAGTTATATGCAGTTAATAAAAGTGTATGTGATATCATGTAAAACAATTACTATACTGCTGCCAGCATCCACCCTTCAGAAGGTACTGTGAGCAACATAACATCACCCAGCAGCAAAGCACAATTCACACATCTGGAATGCTTTTCATCAGAAATCTTAAAAGCACTGTAGATTCATTAGCAACTTAAGACCTTGTACAGACTCAGAGATTGCATTGTTTTTAATTAAAATTATTTATTACATTAATCCATGTTAAATTACCACTTCAATACAGTGTCTCACTCCAACTTTCAACAAAGCATACAGAAGTTTTGTATATTCACAGCACAATTCTCACACACCATCTTCTGTCAGAAAGGTGTGGCTGCAAGCAGGATGGCTCCCTGTAGTCTGCCCTGTCCTGTGTGCTGGGCCCAGCCTCAGGTGAATGCCCCCTGAATGGAAGGATTGCACCATCCCTGCAAACATCTACATGTATTCTGCCAGGAGAAATTTCTAGCAAGAATTAAGGCAGGAAGCCTATGGAGAGAACAAGGATCCCAAGAAAACTGTTGAGATGACCAAGTAGTAATCACAGAAGGTCAGCCTCTCCTAGGAACTAAATAAGAGTTTACTAAAACCTATAAAATCTAACAATTGCATCACGGGAGGAAAAAGTGACACAAAGACTTTAAGAAAAAATGGGATAAAAGACTTGCAATATATTGTCTTATAACTATTCCACTCGAAAATTCATTGCTAAAAAGAAAATTATTGCATATCATTTAAAAACCCCAATTTTAAAGAAACAAATCTTGGACAGTGCCTCAATTTCAAGGAAATGGGACAGGCATTTCCATTCACAGCCTCCAGCCACCTGTAAGGCCTGCCACACAATTTAATAACTTCTAAAAAACAGATTATATGCCAACAAAAAGAAGTATTTTCTGAACAAGTTTTACAGCAGCTGAAGACAAGGCATTAGCCTCAAAACCATTTATTCACTCTACACTACATATGACAAAGACCAGAACACACTCTTGCCTCTCAACTATGCTGTACCGAAGCAAATATTTCCTATTTATTTGACAAAATAATTTTTAAAACAATCACACCACAACAAGAAACAAGATTACTGATAGCATGATTTATCACAAGCAAAGACAGAATTATAGCTGGTTGGACAACACACATTATGGTACAAATAAAACAATCCACCTTCCCTGCTGCCCAGTGGGAAGCAACATACTGATACAATGCTGCAAATACCAAGACACGATTATGATGCAGAAACTTAACTTCTCTACTAACCATTGATTCAAGTCCTGACATGAGGAATGTAACCACCATTCTGCTTTCCAAGGATTCCTCATCATGGATGGATGTTGCTGGTGCAAGAGTTTGAGCCATTTTCCTCCTGTAAAATGAAAGGAAAAAACTTTTTCAGATACATAAAACAGTGCAAAAAAATAAAAACCCCTCTTATGCAAGCAAAGAAAAAAAATAAATTAAAAATCCCATAGAACACAGCCCACTACACACAAGCAACCAAACATACAGGTAAATTAACAGGAGAAAGTGCTTGCTCTTCTTTCATGCTTCCTGCTGTTTCATCCAAAGCTGGAGCTAAACATAAGATAAAATGTTGTATCATGATCCAGCCACAAATTATCTGTGCCCAGAAAAATGCATTTTAATTGATTAGCTGAATTTACATTAATTTTTCTTTCTTAGTATGTCTAAATAGACACAGCAACAAACACTGCCATTAACAAACAAATGGCAAACTATAATTATGACACAGGTATGAGAACAACCTTCTATTATAACTATGACAGCCTAGCTCAAAACAATCACCACCCTGCCCCAAAATCACAGCCTCAAAGACTACAGTATCAATAACCAGAATGCTACATTCTTATTTGCATATTTTTCAGTTGTGGGACTTACTCAAAGCTAAGTAGTCTCAACTAAGGTGCTAAAATTAATTACTAAATTTCAGCACCCCTTCTTTCTCTAAGTCATTCAGGAGATTTTCAACTTACTTAAAACATAAGTAATAATCAAGATTTGTTTATACTTCTGTTGTAGAATTGTTTATACAAGACTGATATATGAGAATGAAGTTTCAGCAGCTTCTAAGAGCACATTTTTTTATTGGAGTGTTGCAACTTCTTATGTTTACACATACCTAGAGCAATAACCTGACACGCCTGCAGGAAGAGAGAACTGTTAGATAATTTAGCTCTAACAACTCCACATGCAAATCAAGAAAAATCACCTCAACAGACAAGATGTATCAGGTAAACAAGACATTTCACAGGTTGATGACATATCTTGCTGCTCCTGTAGAACCTGGCCACACAACGTGGCTCAAGTTTTCAAAGCTGACATGTATCCTATTACATACATATGTAGATAAGTCAGGGCAGCACATTGCATGTGATAATGTGCCGTCTTTGGGGAAAAAAAGAAGGCAATGTGTTGTTTCTAGGACTTAGAGCACTTCAGGCTACAAATTAGATGAGAGCGGGGAAAAATCCTAAAGCCCAAATTATAAACAATGCAAACTCAAAACACATCTAGCAGCCTTCTGGCTCCCAGGCACAGGCCAGCAAACTGCAATTTGAAGTGCACTATGGATGAAGTGCCAGGGAGTGGCCTAACAGTCAGCAGGTGTTGGAGGATGCCAGTAATGAAGATGCTGAACACTGGCACCTGCTACACTGAGGAGGAGGCAAACAGGTCCTTCACCAGGTCTAAAAAAGGAGCCAACTTGGAGTGTGAATATACAGGAACAATTGTTGTAATATGTTCATGGCTTCAGCAATCTGAGAGAGGGCTGATGTGGATGAATTGAGGCTGATGAGGTTATTCTTCAGAGGAAGAGAGGCATTGCTTATGGAATATCCGAGGCAAAAGGGAGATTATGACATAAATAAATCTTTAGTGAGCCATGACTTTTGATACATAATAGAGTTCTCAAGCTCATCTTTGGCACTCCTTTAGGGTTGGGATGCTGACAGTGATTTTAAACATGACAGGTTTTAGACTTTCTGTAAAATGACACTTTAATAATCACAATATTAAAGACTAAATAGAAGATAACTACACATTTCCACTTTCTCCCAGATCTTTATTCACTGTCTGATTTGCAAAGCTACCTTGTCCAGAAAACAGACCAAGGAAATTCTAGAAACCATTTGAAGGCTGTGGATGCATAATCACATCAGAGAAGTGCCAGTTCAAGCTGCCTCCCCATGCAGTATTGCTCCCATCCCTGGAAAGTGATTTCTGATCCATAAATGCAGAGTAGATCAAGCTAAGGAGCTTGTCCAAGGAATAAAGAAGTGCTCCACTGGACTGGGTCACAGCTCAGTACCTCAGAATCACATCTGGATACCATCCTGGGGTGACTTTATGATGCTTGTATCCCCAATAGGGGAGGAAGCACACAGTTTGTTTTCAGAAACTGCACTTGCTGCCCTGCATTCCTTCTCCTGGACTGTGCTGTCTGCAGCATGGACAGACAGCAGGAGAGAGCTCTCCTTTGCTTTTTAGTTAGTTTTTTTTTTTTTAGCTTGCTGAGGAAGTGAAGTTCCCTGGACTGTGGCTTATTGGGATGTTAGGACACAATACAGATGATGGACTTTGGACCTGGTTAGCATAAGAGATTTGATAACAGGATGCCTTGGCAATAGCAAACAGAACTCTGAGGATTAAATCAACATTGCAAGAAGATTCAATCAGACTGACTTACCAGAAAAAGAAAATTACATCAGACTTCTGCAAGCAAGAGATGTTGTAAAATGCCTAAGTTTGTTTATGTGATGATTATCCTAATCCTGATAGTAAAATATTACTTGCCTTCCTAAAATACCTTATAAGCATTTGTGTCCCACAATAAATTCAGATTCTTTGACCATCACACTCAGTCCCCATCTCCCTCTCTTCATTGTCAATAGTGGCTTTTCTTTTTCTTGGAAGTGTACAAACCTACTCAGGACTAAAAACCCAGAAGAGCACTGGGAGCTCACACCTGTGGCCCACTAGGGCCAGGACAGGGCATTTTCCAGCACAGGAGGGACTGATAAGAGACTGAGCGAGCTGAGCTACCCTCACAACAAGGACTTTCTGAATTTTCCATCTCTTCAGAACAGCGAGAGGTTTTATTGTTTAATATTATTCACTTTTTATGCTTCTGAATATTTTGCTTGTTAAATAAACAGTTTTTTCCACTTTTCTCCAAGGAAATCTCTTACTGAACCAGTAGCAGGAGGGGCTTGAGTCTGCTTTCTGGAGGGATCCTTTGGCGCTTCCTCCTAAATTTGCCCTAAAACAGGACAAATACATTTTTTGGCGCCCAACGTGAGGCTCATGAAAGTGGAAATAGCCTGTACTAATTGCATTTTGGTTGCATTTATGCTATATTGGAATAAAGCAAACAATAGCCATATTGCTTGAATTTATAATGTTTCTCTGGGTGGAGGCCTTCATGTGTCTCTGGTCCCCACTTTTTTGAGTTTTTAATACTTTTCTGGCCCCTAGGTTTATTTTCTTATCCGGAGACAGCTCCAGTATTGTCCCTAAAACATAGTTTTTACAATAGAGAGGCAGGGATTAGAATAATTATTTTGCTTGGCATGGTGATAATGACTTATAGGAGGTTTAGAAAAGTACTGGAGTTTGTTCCAGATATATATGCTTTATGGTTTCTTTGTCCTACCCTGTGTCCCAGTAGCATGTTTTGGGGGTTTATCAGTAATTGCACCCAGTTTGTTAGAGGAGGAGCAGGGGATGAGGCTTTTCAACCTTTCCTTTCCTTCTTCTCCTTTGAATTATGTCACTATTTGAGAAAGTTCAGTTTCCCCCGAATGTAAAAGAGACCACTTTCCTGGTGTTTTATCTGGTAAGCTTCCTCGGTATGGTATGCAGCTTGTCTAGAATGAGGGTTGAAATATCCATAGGAACTGATGAAATTCCTGACCCAGGAGTAGACCCAGGCACGAAAAATCTTGAGTGGCATGGAGAATGGGAGGATATGGGCCAAACCCTGAAGAATTTTCTGACCCTAGAGCCTGGGACTTTCCATGTGAACAAATAAGAACCCAGCTGAGGTGGGGAAATACCTGAAAGAGAAGTGCAATGATGACTAAGAAGAAAACGCTTATTGCAATAAGCTGGGCCCTGGCCTCTCCTAACGCACACTACTAGGTACTGTAGGGAAGCACACAGGGGCAGGGGGGCAGGGAGATAAATCAGCAGCTACCCCAGTCACTCAGGCTGCAGCCAGCACCCCAGCTACTCAGGTTTGTAGCTAAACCAGACAGTGAGCCTAAGCCACTGGCAATTGCTGCTGCAGGAAAGAAGCACAAAAACAAAACCAATCAACAAGTGGATAATTTTCTTGGGAGGAGGGTCAGATACAATTTTCCCTTTGCCTCCCTACATGAGGTGACCCATGGCAGGTGCCATTTTGGAAAGAGTATTTCTGCCATTTTAGGTGTCTCTGTTCCCCAGGAGTTGGTGAGATTTAGGAATTTTGTAGCTTGTGATTATTTACTGTTATTTTTTTGCCTATTCCTTGTTAGCAAACTGTTGTTTTCCCACTTATTTCTGCTCATATGCATTTTCTCCTAATTGCTAAAAAGGGATTGGTTGAAACTAAGGGGAGGTAACTCATTTAGAGCATCTACCTTTTAAAATTGTCTTCAAACAAGATGCCAGGACTCCATGCCATCTAACAGAGACTTGGAAAAACAAATGCCATCACTCTGAATGTCCACCCCTTCCTTCTTCCCCCTGCTCTGTATGCTGAGCCTGACACCATACTCTCTGGGTATGCCTTGTTTGCCCTGGGGTCAGCTGGCCCAGCTGTGTCCTCCTCAACTTCTTGTGCACCCATAGCCTCCTCACTGGTGGGGTGAAAAGCAGAAAAAGCCTTGGCTCTGTACAAACACTGTTCAGAGGTAATGAAAACATCCTTGAGTCATGATCACTGTTTCCAGCAGAAATCAAAACCAGGGTCCTGTACCAGCTACTAAGAAACTATCTCAGCTAGAACCAGCACACCCCCAAGATAAAGACCATGACAATACAGCGCTAAAAATACCTCTGAATTTTCCTTTTAGAAGGACAAAACTAAAGACCAAATGTTACAACCCACCTCTGAGGGCAGGGTAAATGAGGTTCACATTAATAGAGCCCCTGGGGCAGATTAGAGTGAAACAACAGTGAAAGATCAGTATATACATAAAAATTAAAAGCTATACGTATATATTTATTTATATATATGTGCCTCAGTTTGAAAGACACATGTATGCCAAGGAAAGTGAGAATCTCCCTTGGAATGGAGTGTATGACCCCCCTTCTACCCAAATTATTGTAACTCTGAAATTAAGGGGCTCTCAGGCAAAG